CAGGTTTCTGAGGTACCAAAAGGTCTAGCTTTGCAGCCATAGAGGCTAGAATCTTTTATTCCTTATAGTATAATAAAATGTCTCCCAGGATGCTAAATTTTGTGCTCCCTGACACAGTTCTGGAGGACCTAGTAGCTGCCTTTCCCTGGACAGTTCAGTGCAAAATGTGGGATCCTGCCCCCTGAACGTGGTGTTGAGAGGAATATTGTTGGCTGCACTTCATAGTTAACCACGTGGTTATTGTCATCTTAGTCCACAGTCAGAAGGCAGGGTCCTACCAGGCAGGAGCTCAGCCACTTAAGTTGGCAGCTGTTTCATACGTCTACCAGTGTTGTCAAGGGATAGGTTACAGGCCTCTGTAAAGCAGCTAGCTTGTTGTCAGCCCCTCGGGAGTTTCTGCGGTTCTGTTCCCAGTATATGCTAGGGAAGAGAAAAAGTCATGCTCCCGTTGCTCTATGATTATCTTCTTGTCCGTCATCACTTGGTCTGGTTTATGCTAGTTTTCTCATTGTGTTTAAGGTTCCCCTGGTGGCTGCTATTAGCAATGCTCCAGGGTGGCTTTACTCCCAGATTTGAGGTCACAAAGAACTTGAGATCCCAGCGTTGTGCCAATATTTGAGTTCCCATTGCTGACATGCACTGCTGGTAATGTTGGTTTGTCACTGTCTAGATCAAGATGGGAGCAGTGAATTAGGTAATAAGCAATGCCATGTGATAATATCTCTTTATAGATTGTATTACTTCAGACTGAGGGTGGGGAGGGGGTGTCAATTTCTGGATGTTCCCTGATTTTTTTTGGACAGGGGGAACAGAACTCTGAGCACATACAAATCTAGCAAATCAGCTAATGCTTGATTTAGTAGCACCTTTCCTCTAGCTGTGTATGTGGAAGGAGACCTTTCTAAAACTGAACATTCAAATGCTTAATCTTCCCACCTGCAGCCTGAAGTGGTGCAGTCCAGCAAGATACATATCAGGTTAAGGTAGCTGTTCATGCATTTTGTCTCAGAGATTCCTTTATGCACAAGCTGGGCTTGTACTTGCTAAGAACTGGTTCCTTGCCTTATAGGAAACCCTGGATTACAAATAGCTGTTAATAGATTTGGGCGGGGCATTGGACCTTGCTTTTGCTCTGACCGCCTGGAAGCTTGAATAGAGCTGGATAAGAGACTTTAGTTGACTGTCTTAGGTTGTCACCTATAGTCTTTAATTATTATTATTTTTAAAGCAGATTTTTATATTGACTTTTTTAGTCAACTGAGTTTGTAGAAACTGATTTTGTGCATTGTTCTTAAGCACATAACAAACAATCTGCCTTTGGGAAATTTCATCCAGAGCCTGGTTCTTCAGAAGGAGAATCAACTGTAGAGCTAAACTGCACTGATCTAATCTGAAGTCTTGTGTTTCTTTTCTCTCTCTTCCCACCCCTTTTCCCTCCCAGGTGTTCTTCACACGCAATGGGAAGATTATTGGCAAGAAAGATGCTGTGGTGCCGTCTGGGGGCTTTTATCCCACTATTGGGATGCTGAGCAGTGGAGAGAAGGTCAAGGTAGATCTGCACCCACTCAGCGGCTGAGAATGAAGGGGTGTGGGGAGCCGCTCTCTTTCCTGCTGCCATTCCTTGGACTGGCCTGTTGTTCAGGTTGTTCTCTGTTGGACTTGCAGCCTCTGCCTCCAGGGCAGCATTTTGTCTGTGGGGCCATATAGATCATATAGATATCTGTCTAGCTAACACCACCTGAGCCCACCTATCTTGGTCCCCCCCCCAAAAAAAAGAAATCCTATGTGATTGCAGATACTTTTGGGCTCCTTGTACCATTGCTGGATGCTGGATCAATCCTGAGGCTCTTGTTCCCAAGCAGGTCTGGGATTAATTACTGGGACAGTGTCCCACTCTCTTCCCAGTCACAATGTTCCGAGTCTGTGGCTCTCGCTTCTCAGCTTTTGAAAGGGAGGCTGGGATATGGCCTGGCCTCGTTGCACTCTTAGTGCAACGGGCCCCGTTTTGTGATGGAACAGCACAGCGGCTCTTTACCACCCCTGTGCACCATATTGCATCAGGCATTTGTTGCCCTCCCCAGCTGCAGGCCAGCCCCACAGCATCTTGCCTTTCTGGTTTCCCTGCAAATCCCTTGGCCACTTTTTAATGTACCCTTGCTCCTCCAGTTGAAACGTAGCTTGAGAGGAGCCCGTACCAATTTTGAGGATTGCATGAGGGAATGTTATACAGATGGTGAAAATCTTTCTTTGACTGTATTTCCCTGTGTGTTGTGTGCACCTTCCTGTCACATCACTTGTTTGAAGGAGGCGGCCTTCCATCCATGCTGAACTCCCTCCCTGCTCTTGTGCTAGCATGCCTTCCTCCTAGTGCCAGTCTGGAGGTGTGTTGTGAGGGCACCCTGCCTTCTTCCCAGCTCCCTTTCCTGAGCCATTGAGATCCCTCAAATAATTGATGCTGGACCCTGGAAGGGTGGTGCTTGTCCTGGGTGCAATGCTGCTGCAAACCCGTACTGCTGCTACTGCCATTTTGTAAGTGGGAGTGGGAGCAAGCAGAGATATGGGGCGTGAAATGTGCCCTGCAGTTTGATTGTAAAGCGTTTTCTCTTCCTCCTCCAAGTTAATGAGGGCTGGCCCTTGATGTGTAGGCCTGCCCTTGTCTTCCTTTGCGCTCTAGGTCTCTTGTCCTCTGCGTTGTGCTTGCTGTCTTGTAAGCTTACCTGTTTTGGCTCTGAGGTTATTCAAAGGCTCTTCAGAACTGTAAGAAACTGTCATGATGTCACTTGTGTGGCTAATCTATGGCAGGAGATCCTTGATCCTTGGGGGCGGTAGACAGGGGAAGGACAGGCCCCTACACTAGCCCCTCTGGCCCTATTGCTGCTATTAGTTTTCTCAGAAGCTGGTGGTCCTGCAAATAGTTGCACTGGCTCCCTCTTGTGGTCCAGTTACCTGGCTTTGTTGCAATTGTACTGTTTTTAATAGGTGGGTTGGGAACATAAGCATCCCTTTGTGGTTCGTTCTTGCTTGAATGTTGATGTTGTGCCAGCAACCACCCCAGACTCTTTGGAAATGTGACAGCACCTCCTTCTTCAACCTTAATCCATGCTGCTGTTGCAGACTTCCACTGGTGGCTGCTTCCTATCACCAAAATAACCTAATACTTGAGTGGGATGCCAGTGTGAGAGAGAGATTATATCAGCAGGCTTTGCTGTTGCAGTCCTTGGAGAGAGCCAAAATACTGTCACCCTGCACCCTGTTGTGCAGCCTGCTCTTGGGCTGTGTGAGCTGACGGTTGTCTGGTCTGAACAGAACCTCCTTCTCTCCAGCTCTGCATGGCACCGGTTCCTGCTGCATCGCTGTAGAAAGAATCTTTATACATCCAATAAAGTTGAAATGTCCATATTTATCCAGCACTGGAATAGGCTTCTGTGTTATTTTTATAATGCTTCACTACACCCTGGCCCCATTCTCCATTGTTTGGACCTTATATCTTCACAGTGCCCTCACTGGTTGCACTAGCTGGCCCTTGGGGCCCTTCAAAGTCTACGATTTTGTGATTTTAAGTGTGCGCTGCATGTGGAAGTGGCCTTCTCCCCACCCAACAGTGGCAAATGTGCTTCATGGTGATATTGAAGTGGCAAGCTGTATCTGTTTCTGTGTATGGAATTGGAACGTCTGGAGCTAGGGCTACCTGCTGTTGCATGTGACTAGTTCCTGTAGCCGTAGCTAGGGCACATCCAAAGTGTGGCCATAACCTCTTTCTGGTGCTAAAAGCACAAGGAGAAATTCAGACTGCAACAAAGGACTCCTGCTTGGAGAATCTCCAGGCCTTGCCTGCTGCAGCCTTTGTTTTCCCCTTCCCAAGGTGAGAAGCTAAACAAGACAATGATGGAAAGACAGACACAGGTGCCAAATAACAAAAGTAGAGCAAGCACCCGTTGGGTGTTAATTTTAAGAAGTAAACAGAAGGTGTGTTGCCGTTTATACACAGAGAAGAAAAATACAGATATAAAAAATAACCAGGCTTAGTGCTGCAGCTCCCCCCTCCCCTTATATATAGATATATATTATCAAGACATCTCTGGCTAACATCCATATATAAATTCTTTAGTAGACAAAAATAGATCTCTGTACTAAACCCAACCCTCCCTCCCCCCCCTCAAAGATTTGGGGGCTAACTCAGCCCCATTTTCTCCTCTTCTACTGATGTGCCGTCTTTAATAATATTGGTGGCTTCTTTGCTTTGTTGCGTAAAAAAGCACAACACACACACACACACACACAGAACCAAGCTCAGCTGTTGCTCTTTTTCTACTTGTTTACATATGGCACCCACCAATGAGCAACAGCAGGGCTTAGTGGATTGCACCTAAGAGGCAGCCTAGAAATCAAAATGGCAGCAATTGTCCAAGCTATTAATGCAGCATCATACAATTCCCAGTTTTTAGAGGGGAGAATCATTCAAAGTTGTCTAGGCATATTAATGGTAGAACAATTCAGGCTGTGGTCTGCTTATTTTTAAACAAGGCCAGTGCAGGGCCTTTGCTAGCTCAGGTTTTATGTATTTCTGGTAGACTCTCCTTGCCCTGTGACCCATAATCCTAGTCCTTCTCATAGAATCATAGAGTTGGAAGGGACCACAAGGATCGTCTAGTCCAGGGGTAGTCAACCTTTTTATACCTACCACCCACTAATGCATCTTTCTTGATGGTAAAATTTCCTTACTGCCCACCAGTGCTTGATGGAAGGAGGATTCAGCTTGTGCCATAGAAACCCCCCACCCACCCAGAATCCTGAAACGCCCACTGGTGGGTGGGAGGGCCCAGGTTGACAACCCCTGCTCTCTAGACACTGCTTCTTCTCTGAAAAGGAGATACATTGTGTGAGGATATTCCAAAGTGTAAGAACACAGCCCTGAGGAATGCTTGTGATGAGACACCCTCTGTAACCCCTTTTTTAACCTTTATAAAATAGAGAGATTAGGCAGTTTGCCAGAGAAGGTGATGATTTAATATTTTTATGCTATCATAAACTATAGTGACAGACTAATTTAAAGCAAGTAAGTTTCAGTCACCCCAGAAATAGGTTCTTCATGGCCCACTGCAGCATCTTTTGCTCACCTGGTGCTCTCCAGCTGTTTTGAACTGCACCTCCCATCAGTTCCAGCCAGAATGCTGCCTGGGGCAGGTGGGAGTTGGGGTCGGCTGCGATACAGCGAAACAAAGATGACCACCTTTGTAGCTCAGGGGTGGGGAACCTGTGGCCCTCCAGGTGACTTCAACTCCCATCAGCCCCAGCCAGCATGGCCAAGGATGATGGGAACTGTAGCCCAACAATATTGGACAATCTCCCTCCCCCAAGTTCCCAGCCCCTGTTTTAGTTCCAGCTCCATTAAGGTTCTCATGAAACAACGTGATATAATGCAAAGTAAACAGCTGCTCTTATTTTAGCTAATAAAGACACACGTCACAGGAAAGCAATCTGAAAGTTACTTGGTGGTCAAAAGGATGAGTTGTCTCACAGGGCTTTGAGCCTCTGGGAGAGACACTGAAAGCAGCATTTCAGCAGATGCGTGTTCTCCTGTCATGGCATTCCAGTGCTGGAAAAAAGGTACAAGAAGCGGGGTTCTCTTTTCAGCAAAACTGCTACATGTATAGCAGCCCCTTCTCAAATAGTGCACTAATGAAACCAGGATAAGGCACAGACAAGGGAAGAGGCACAAACGCCCTTTGCGAGGAATGGCTGCACATTTCCTTATGGAGGGAAGGAGCCACACATGCCTTTCATTAGGGGGAAGAAACACACCTGGCAGGGTTTCCTGTTACCTTCAATGAAAATGACAGTAAGTGAAAGAAGAGTAAAGGCGAGGTTTGAATATAGGAGTGTTCAAAGGCTCACATACACTTACTCCTCAGAAGTTGGCTTGTGCTAACATTGCAAGACTAGGCTGTTGTATAGCATCCCCTCTCGCTGCCTCTATCCACTAGACGCTGCTGCTTCTCTGAAAAGGAAACACACTTTGGAATATCCTCACACAATGTTACAACACAGCTCTGAGGAATGCATGTGATAAGACACCTCTCTGTAACCCAATCAACAGCTTTTTAAGGTGTTCCCAAGACCTTGGGCTGAACAGAGCCCCCGTTCCTCTTTGCAAATGTGCATATGCAGTTATTAGGTGCTCCTTAATCTGGCAGAGAATCTTGTGTTCAAAAACATATAGCACTTGCAGACTGTCAATACTTTCAGGTGGGATTCAGTTGCATACTGGCAAATTAAGGTTGCTTGATTAAAGTGGCTTTTTGTGCTCTTGCACAACAAGCCAAGAACAAAACAACACCCCAGACTTTTCATAGTAAGGCAAGTCATGAGAAAATACACAGGGAAGGGTAGAATAACAGTTCTTTGTTGCAGTGTCATGTGAACTCGCCACAAAGAAATTAGAAGAAATGCTCAGTAAAACAGCCAACGTTTGCAAACATGCAAACGACGACTTAATAAACAGGTCATCTGAAAGCAACCACATACAACTTCAAAGATATCAACTGATTGGTCCATAAATGGCCACTCCAATTTTCTCTTCATTGCTTCACTGGGAAAAACAGCACTTTGTTTACAACTGTGCCCTGGAGAGAACTGGAAACTGAACTCAAAAGGTGCTTCCTGGCAGGTTCTTACATGGGATTGGTGCTGCCCATACATGCACAGGTTCTGTAGCAGCTGCAATAAAGCGGTAGTCCCCCCCCTGCCTTTGATCCATTTTTTTTCCTTTTTGCAGAAAATCTGATTTAAAAAACACACCTGTTGGCTGTTTGTAATACCCAAATTACTTATTTGCAATACCAAGCCTCTGGCCGGAAGCACCCACAGAGACAGGTCCAGATGATCCAGCCATAAATCCATGTACTCAGTCTCTCTGCACTCCTGAGCTAGGAGCAGAATTCAGAAAACCTGGTTCTTCACTCTGCTAACCCCCACGTTACTGCTGCCTTTAATTTTTTCAGAGTATGAGAGCAGTTGGTCCCATTCTCTTCACTGTGCTCTGGTCCGTTCAGCACACATTGCTGCCGCCACTCTCGGCTCCTGCCACAAGGTAACCTGGTAATTTGAAGACCAAGCATCTTTACTCAGGCAAAACAGCAGGTTCCATTGCTTCCCACTTGACCCCTCTATCACATACAGTTGCCTAATGCCATAAATGCTGCTCCATTATAGAACTAGGAGAAAGGTAGCTCACCAGAGACGTTATGGACTATGCACCTCCTTTACACAATCAGTGCATTTTCATGCATGACTCTTGCTGCAATGTGAATGCAAAACCGGCATTGGTCAGCGTGTTGATTTGCATTACAAATCTTTCTTCCACTGATGGCCTAAAATGGTGACCCGCCCCGTGTTAATATTTTTGAGTATTTACAAATCCTACTGTTTCCCTACTGCAGTCTGGGTTCTATCCTTTTGGATGCTGTTTACATCAGGGGTAGGGACCCCATGAGCCTCCAAATATCTCTGGACTACGGCTCTCATTATCCCTGCCCCTTGGCTAACATGGCTGAGGCTGATAGGAGTTGGGGGTCCAGTAATACTACCCGATAACTTAAACTCTCTATGCAAGAGTTGTGCTGCTCAATTCTATTCAAGATGTAGATTGGAATAAGTTGAAGGGTTGTTGCCTTAGAATCCTATCCAGAAAGCAAGGCCTTCATTCTAAATGGCAAAGAGTAGTGGGAAATTAATTGAAACCCACATCCAAGCTTCAGAGCCAATGGTGAGAAAGACTGCCAGACTGATAAAATATATTGGTACAACAAAGGATGAAAGGAAGGGAGGGGCATTAAAAAAATAAATTAGAATTGTAAAACACCCAAGACCAGCTTTGCGGCCATAGCTTGAGTGTTTAAAACAGGGCGGACAAGGCTTCAGGCTTGTGAGATCTACTTCCATTTTTTACTAAAACCCGGGCACCCTCTAACCACTTTCACAGTCTTTCAGACACACACAGATAACACTCCAGGTTGGCCCCTGCCCATCTCCTTTGTTTCAGTAATGTAACACTGGGAGGGGTGTTATTTTCTGGTTGTCACAACTTGGGAGTCACAAATCCTTGCTGATCTACTTCAACACATCCAGAAAGCTAACAGTAGAACTGACTGCTGTCCACCTAGCTTAAAACTTCCAAAACGGATCACTTATCTTACCATGTTGAGCACTTTTCCTCACTAATGGAAGGAAGACAAGGTTAGTACTTGATAAGTCTAAAGGGAATTTATAGCCAGGCTGGACTGATCTGCATGGTCAGAAGCAGACATGGGGCTGGGACCTCTGGCTGCGGGTTCTGTGCTGCAAAATGGCACACATGCCCATATGCAAGGGATTTGCAGGAGTGGGGGAAACAGCAAGTAGGGGGAGAGCTTAACCTGCCCACTAGTCTCCTCCCCAACCCCAACCCTAGCAAAGATATTCCCAGGTGCTTTTCTCACTTTGCAGTGGAGAAGCAAGAACCAGATTTCCCCAGCATGGTGTTTGCAAGCTGGCCCTTGTGCTACCCTTGGCCTGCCCAGAGTAATTCTAACCTCTTCGTCTACTAGGATGGTACAATATGCTGCCTCTGAATGGATGCAGACAGTTCCGCATATTCATTGCTTCCAGGCGCCTTCAGTTACTGTTGTGCTGCAGAGCCTTGTCTGAGCTTATGAAAAGAATCAGCCAGATATTTAAAGATGTACAGTCCTTTCTAAGTTGTCACCCATTGGCGCTTTGTCTGCTAGTAAGAAAACACAGTGCAATGCAGACTCCTGGGGTCCAGTGAAGGGAGTGCAGCCTTGACATCCACTCCCCCCTAGAGCCCTTTGCTGGCCAGTAGGTGGGAGAGAGGCAGGGGAGTAGAAAACCCCCCAGCAGTGACTCCACCTGGGCCTGCCAACCTGCCCAATTAACAGCTTCTCCCCGCATTACACGAGCAGCACAAATCAGTGGTCAAGGTGGGGAGGAGGAGGAAGAAGAAGATGCCTGCAGAGAGATCTGCAGCAGTGTCCCTTCATCTCCGGTGAGTCCCCAGCATAACCTTTGTGATGAAGTTGACTATGGCCGATGCCGGTTGCTCAGGGTCTAGCTCAGCAAAGAGGTGGCAGACGTTCTCACATGGGCTGCCTTGCTTCTTGGCCACAAAGCCAAAGATCCTGGAAGAGAAAAGCACTGCTGAAAATGTGTGTGCATGCGTGAGAGATGGTCCTGCTACCCATTTTAATTGATTCTCCCTCCTCCCCAACTCCAGGCTGGTTAAGGCACCTGGATGCAGCATCAAAAATGGAAAGTCAGGGCTCAGCTCTCGGGACCAGAATAAAACCAAAGAGTTTTGGAGGAAAAAACATCCACACAATTTTTTTGTACTCTGTAAAACACTGTAAATAATAATAGTAGCAGTAGTAATAGTAATAGTAATAATAGCAATAATAATAATAATAATAATAATAATAATAATAATAATAATAATAATAGCAGCAGTCTCTGGGACACAGAGAGGGGCTCTATTCCTGCCCAAATTCTCTTGTGCAGGAGGGATGTTAAAACAATGGCTGACAAGACCTTTGAAAAGTTAGCCACATGACCTTTGGCCTCCCCAATGCTTACTTGGATGTGGTGCCATCTGGGTTAGCCCACCTGCAATTAAAGAGAGACAGACAGACAGAATAATATCATATCAGAAAAAGTGTATTTACCATCATCACAATTTATTTAAACTCAGCTTAAAAGGGCAGAAGTGTAAGAAACTGCCTGTGAGGTCTTTATTTGTTTCTAGGTATTAGGTTTATGAATTCCCCTTCCTCCAAAAGAAGCCCAGAGTGATGTACAATAAAAGATAAAACAACAAAATACTTAAGTAGATAAAACACATTACAAATCCCCAAATCTCTATGAAATAACAACATTATTAAAACATAGTATCACTTGCTGACATTAGGCATAAGACAATAAAAGCTTGATCTGTAAAGGTCTGGGTAAACAAAGACGTCTTCAACAGACACCTGAACGCAAATAATGATGAAGGCAAGCCTAACTCCAGGGGGTCATGATTCTAGAATCGGGGGCCCTTGCTATCCAGTCTTGAACCATGAATCCTAGTGGGGACCATAAGCAGAGACAAACCCACTCCACCAATGTTAGGAATCACATCGGCTGGCCTTGGAGAAGGTGCTGCTTCGGATACCTGGACCCCAGGGATTTAGAAGCCACGATCAACACCATGACAACAGGCCTAGGGAAGGTGGGTATGGTTGGCCCGAAAAGGCCTGGCGGGCTGATCCGGCTCGTGGGTTGAAGGCTCCCAACCACTGTTCTCAACCAAAGTGATTGCACTTTCCACCCTAGGGGGTCTTTACAACATACAATGCCTCCTGCACATGAGCACAAACTCATTTATCATAACTGTGGTCATTTTATTAGTCACACAAACAAAAACACACAACCACTTATAATTAGAACCTTGTGAGCCCACCAAAGTAGGAAACACAAATATAGGACTCAGCGACATCAGTAAAGAAAAATAATGTTAAATGTGCTATAACACTGTGACACCAGATGGCGCTGTGGAGTTCCGTCTTTCAGCAATGTGATTTCCCATTATGAGGTTTACAGTGCATTTTCCTGAAACTTTTTTTTGATCCAGCCGTAGTCTCTACACAACAGCCTCTTCTTAGAACTCAAAGCTTGCTAACATTTCCCCCAGAGGCCCAGGAAAGATCACACAGACGAGCCTTTGTAGAAGCTCCTCCACAACCTCAAAGCTACAGCTGTAAAGGCTCTAGAGAGAACACTGACAGCAGACTGGCGTTCTCTGAGTAAGGCACAAGCTAAGCAAAAGCCTGTGGCAAAGCCAGGCTAAGCTGCTGGTTACCTGCGGTCCTGAGGATCTGTGCTGCAGAAAGTGACGCTGCTGACAGGATAATGGCGCCGGAAAAAGAGCCTGCAGGTAGAAGGAAATTTTCCTGAATCAAGAAGGGAGGAGAGGTGCAAAACCCACTGTGGGTCTCTCTCAGGAGAACAGGAAGAAGAAAATACATGGGGAGAGCAAAACATATCAAGATGGGCAGGGAAGACCACAGCATACTAGGAGGAGAGGAAGGGCTTGGCTCACAGGTATCCTGGTGCCCCTAGAGCAGAGGCAGGGTGACTCACTTTCTCTGGTTGTCTGTGAGCGTGATGCCCTGGGCTGACACCTTGAAGTGCACGACGCAGGCAGAAGCACGAGGAGTGGCGCTCAGGGTGCTGGTGGCTGCCTTGGCCACAGCCTGTGGGCCTGTCAGGGACTCTGTTTCCACAGAGCTCAGGTACAGCACACTGCAGGCTGTAATTTGGAAGAGGGGAGGTGGGGGAGAGAGAAAGAGATGGATTGTCCAAAACTTTGCACCTTCCATAACCACACAGCTCGGACCCCACCCAGTTCCCCATCTGCTCAGGCTTCCAAACACTTAAGAGAATCCCTTCCATTTCATCCTTGTTTGATTTTCCGCTGCTGAAACCAAAGTCTGAATTAGATGTTAGCGAGCCTTGGTTGGGAAGAGGCTGCAGTGGGAAGTGGGAAACAGGGAAAGGGTTAAGCAACCCTTCCCTCAATCACTTCTTCTCCCCTGTGAATTTCATCTTCTCCTTGCTGCTCTGCAGCTTTTCAAACTGACCAGGACTCCACAGCTGTATCTGCTGCTGAATGCCTTCAGACCTCCTTACCTATTTGTGACAAAAATAGCCTAATATATCTTCCTACTTGAGTGACACTGACATCTAGTGCAATATTCAGCTTCTTGTGCATCTCAACTTCCATGAAGAACAAAAAAACAAGGTTTTGTTACTTCTATTTTTCAGTTTTAATTTGTATACCACCTTTCTTTTTTTGGGATAGCGCAGCCACTGGAGCATGGGACTCTTAATCTCATGGCTGTGGGTTCGAGCCCCACATTGGGTGATCTCATGCAAGCAAGTCATAATAATGGGGCTTTAGCACTCTGTGTGGTTATGCACCCCTTCACCTGTGAATATCAGAAGTGGAATTCTCTAAACTGCTGCTGGTCGAAAAAAATGAACACACTCCGCCCTCCCTCTCTGCTTTGGTACTGACCTGCTCCCTGTTTCAGCAGATCAGCAGCTGTGCTCATGTTGGTGGGAACAGCCAGCTCTGCGCTCTCCTCCACTAGATCTGAAAAGGGGGAGGCAAAGAGAGAGAGAACACTGTCTAACATGCACACAGTGGTTACAGGATGTGGGGCTTGCATGTGGTGAAACAAAGTTCAAAACTTCATTCAGCTGTAAAGATTAGTGTCCCTCGTCCCAACCTACAGGGTGGCTGTAAAGTTAAATTTCTGCCATGGGCTTCTTAAGAGAAAGGTGGGTTGCAGGTGTGGTAAATATGAAGCTGCCATAAACCTTAGCATTTAATGAAGTACTTCCAAGGGTGGAAAGCACTTTGCAGTTATTATCTTGTAATCCTTGCAACTGCAAGGTACATGGAGGGTGTGGGGCTGAGTGGCAAGAACCACCTGGTAAATTCATGAGAGTCAGGATCTGACCTGAAGACTTCTTGATCCCTAGCTCTATCTCTGAGCCATCACACTGCTTATACCAGCATGGGAAACAGGAGCTGTAAAACTTGGCCGCATCCTGCTAACAGTAGACACACTGAAATCAATGGACCTGCTAGTTTTGTACATTAATTTTGATGGCTCTACTCTGAATAGAGATTAGTTGGATAAAATCCAAGCAGCAGAGATGACGACTTGCCTGGAAAACACACACCCATGCCCCTTTCTGCTTTAATGTGGGGAAGCTGCCATACAAGGCGTTATATTTGATTGTTTCAAGATTTATAGCCAAACTATGTCCTCACTGCACCCAGATCTCTTGACTCCCGAAAGCTTCCTGAGCACTTCTTACCTTTGCTTGGGATACGGAGACGGCAAGGCAAGGAGATGGGGGTGATGGAGTGCTGGGACACCAGGGCTGGCAAGCTGCCTGCAAGGAGAAGAGGAACAGCCATGGGGCACAGCACTGCTTCTCCTGCACAGCCTCCCGACAGTATCTCCTCCCCTGCACATAGCAAGCACCCTCTTCCTCCCTCAAGCCTGGAGCACTCCTTAACCTCCCTAGCAAAAGCATAGCATAATTTTTCTAGATGAGGATATCAGGAGCTCCTGGAGGTAGCGCCCACTTGCCCCACAAGGTACATAATAACACTACAAAGAGCCCTGCTGGATCAGGCCAAGGGCCCATCTAATCCAGCATAGCCCTGTTCTGACAGTAGCCAGCCAGGTGCTGGTCGGACACCCACAAGCAAGACCCAAGCACTCTGCCCTCCTGCTCCTTCCAGTCCCTGGACTTCAGAAGTCTTACTGCCCTCAACTGTTGTGGCAGAACACAGGCAAACACAGACATCCTGCTGGCAGCCAGTGATAGCTTTACCCTTCAAGACTCCAAGCAGGTGGCTTTAAAACTTATCTGCTTAGGTATGTGTGTAACTTTTTACATTGCAAAATATAAATGAGAATGTGCTAGGTGTATGGCCACCTCTTTTTCTTTATCCCAGTCACTCACCAAAATGGGGCTCGTTGTTGCAGCCTTTGATCTTCACCCCCTTTGGTCCTGTCTCAATCAGGAAGTGACGCACCAGCTGCTCAGCAGGATCGCCTAGGGAAGGATGGAGAAGAATTTGGGTTGCTTTGTATTTTTAAGTGAACTTAACTACTTTGCACCTCCTCAGCAAATATATGAAGCAGAATGTAATTATCCTTTAGGTTTTGCCCTTCTTTGAATTTTGCAATGCAGTTCTCAGTTCAATGAATGTATCAAAATATGTTTCAAAAGTGTGTATTTCTAACATTCAGAATATATTTAGAAATGTGTACAAATATGAACTTACATACAAATTTTTGTATGAAACTCACAGATTAGTCTGAAAGTGGGATGGAATGGACTTTTATGAATAAACACAGGCAAAGCTGACACCGTGCAGAAATAGGATGAACTGTCCATCCCTACTCCTAAACGGCCTCAGCCCAGTATACCTGAAGGAGCGTCTCCACCCCCATCGTTTCTGCCTGGACGCTGAGGTCCAGCGCCGAGGGCCTTCTGGCAGTTCCCTCATTGCGAGAAGCAAAGCTACAGGGAACCAGGCAGAGGGCCTTCTTGGTAGTGGCACCCGCCCTGTGGAACGCCCTCCCACCAGATGTCAAAGAGAAAAACAACTACCTGACATTCAGAAGACACCTGAAGGCAGCCCTGTTCAGGGAAGTTTTTAATGTGTGACATTCTAATGTATTTTTAATCTTTGTTGGAAACCGCCCAGAGTGGCTGGGGAAACCCAGCCAGATGGGCGGGGTACAAATAATAAATTATTATTATTATTACCCTCTCCCTATGCAACAAGCTCTCAGGAAGAGTACTCATCCGTTATGGCTGCTAGGGTCTCTCCTATGTACTTTTTCTTCCAACCTCTCTCAAGCAAAGAGAGAATTTGCCAGGGATGGAACCTTACTTATTTACGTATCTCCCAATTAACCACATCCTCTGGGGGTTCATAAAGTTCAGAAAGCACAGATACAATAAAAACTGAACCTATCGATGAAGGGGAGCAGGAACACATAATACGAGGACAAAGATCACATAAAACATTGTGGCTTAAGAGCCAGCAATTCAAAACACTCTTGACGAGATAAAAGGCTAAGGAAGGAATTGGGTAGTTTGAAGAGGAGGGATGGGCAGAGGAGGGAAGGAAATCTGTTAGCCAGCCTTCTGAGTTACCCCTCCACATTTCCCTTCTCGGCTGGACATGGCCAGGACACGGCTAAGAGGCACGGGAATGTCAGAAGCAGCTGTGTTCATATTGTGCGATACTGAGAGGAGGCTTTACTCCTTGTCTGTCAGTCGCAGATGAGAGGACAATGGACAAGAACGGGCAAATTGCCCATCACTCTTTGTATTGGGAGGCTGGAAAGGTTTGCCCAAATGACAAGACCCCACCCTCTTGGCCTCACAGATGTGGTTTAAAGGAAAGCAGAGCAAGATGTTTGGCACCAGCTGGGCTGTAGGAGTTGCCGGAAGGAGGCTTACAAGACACCAACCAACCATCTTAGGAACTCCATATTTGAGTAGAGGTTTACTCTGTAGCCTTTTCTTCTCCCGAAGGTCTCCTGCGAGGCAGTGTAGGTTTAGAATCAGAGTTTTCCTTCTAGCACTGCAGCGACTGCTTGGGAGGCAGGCACTCTCTCGCATGGGGCTGTAGCTACTGCTGCAAGTCAGGAAGTGTTGGTTTGTTGCTTTTACCTTTGGTGGAGTGGTTGATGCTGTTGGGTGGAGGTGTTGCCACTTTCAGAGCCAGGCCGTAGGCCCCCTGGAAGGAATTACTGTCCCGAATGAGGAAGGTCCCAGGCTCCTTGTCCTTCAGAAGGGCAATGGCTGCTCAGGAGCAAAAATGTAAGTGCATCAGATCTTGTGTATGCAGAAGCCTGCAGTTCTGCCGTCACACTACATTATTCTTCAGAATGTGGTCCCTGGTACTTCCTTGTGTAAAATGGACACCCACTTCTTTAAAGGCACCTGCTACTCACAGGTTATGATGGCTGCCTCCTCTCCAGCAGACAGGAAGCAGCAGTGACCATTTCCCCAAAACACAGGCAAATACAAATAAATGTCAAGTGTTTGCTATTACATACAGAGCCGTAGATAGGTGATCTTGCACCTCTGGCAGAACCATCCAGATAGCGCCCCTTTGCCACAGACAAATTAGCTCTTCTTTCCGCCTCTCCTCCACCCCCTTCCACCCACTCAATTCCTCACGCACTTCACCTTGTAATGAATTCTTGTTTGCAATGAATTCTGACTGAAGGAGGCCAAAACAGAGAGAGGACACCAAGATGGGGGACGGCTGACCTACGTGATGGTACATCGGTGTCTCCCCACTTATGGGCGGGTTACGTTCCAGGCCACTGCGTGCATAAGTGAAGTCACATAAAATGGGGAGCACCCCACTTTAACAGGGAGAAGGGCATGGGAGCCAACACTTTGGGGCCAAGGTTCCTTCACCCCCCTAAAATATTATGAAGATGCCGCCCCCCCCAGTTAATGGGCATTGCCATTCAAATAGTGTGCATGTGCTCCATCTCGATTATACAGGGCGGTGCTTATCTGCCCCCCTCAATATATTTTATTCAAGTTGGCACCCTTGAGGGGGGTGTGCGAAAGGAAAGAGAGAGAGAAAAAAAGTGACTCTGGAGTAGCCAGGCTTTGAAGCTGGTGACTCTCCCCTGGTGCCCGGAGAGGCAAGGGTGCGGGCAGTGAGGTGGGCCGGGCAGCACCAGGGGACGAGGCTGGTGGACCTTCCCAGCCCCAACCCTGAGCAAAGTCCAGGAGAGGCAGAGCCGGTGCCTCACAGCCAAACAGGATGGGGCGCTTGGGGCGCACACAGGCTTCCCGCCAGGCTTCCCAGCCAACCCAGATGCCAGGAGGGCCAAGGGGCGAAGGGGGCAGCCAAGAGCAGGTGCCGCCCAGCACGCCCTCTTCCCTGCCCTGTCTGGGCTGTGGGCAGGGAGCGCTGGCCAGACAGGGTGCCTGGCGGAGGGTCTTGGCAGCCGATTTTAGGTGTCGTCCCCCCCCGCCTGTGCCCCTGGCAGGGGCCCACCTCACCACCCCCTAGCTATGGCCCTGATTACATATGCTATTACAGTGCAGAGACATTTTAAATATGATCACCCAGTGGGAACATGAAGTTAACATCAAGAGTCACAACTCAAGCAGACACATATTTCACAGTGATTAAGTGAATTGCAAGAGAGATCTAGAGCAGTTCTTAATTAAGCGCTGTTTGGTGCTTTTTAAAAACAAGGTTGGGAGAGCCTGCTCTAGAGAATGTGTCAAATACTGATTTTGTTAAATCCTATCCAAACTAGGCAAAACTGCTTGGGAATGGTGTACCTTGATCCCGGGACAAATGAGGCTTGTACCAGAACTTTGATGTGTCTTGGACAAATTTGACGCTAACCTGGTTCTCTTGCTGTGAATCTGGAAGAAAAGAAAATGGAAGAGAGTGTGGCTCTCTTTACAAAAGGCAGACAAGCAACAGTGTTAATTAATACTAACACAAAACATTTTTTGCAGCCCATTAAGAGTGTTTGACATGCTTAACTTACATTATTCTTAAGTCAGGGAAGGGGAACCTTTGGCCCTCCAGATACTGGCTGACTACATTTCCCATCATCCCTGACCATCGTCTGTAATACTGGCTGAGGTTGATAGGAATTGGAGTCCACAGGTTTCCCATACCTGTCCCAAGTGACTCTTACCACAATATTACAATGGGGAATGGTCATAGGTAGAACACAGGCCCAAGTCCCAAGTTCAGTCTCTATTCGAAAGGATCTCAGGGGACAGGTAAGGATTCCAGACAGCTCTTGTGTGTCAGAGCCGAAAATATGGGGCTAGATGAGCCAATGGCCTGATTCAGCATAAGACAGCTTCATGCCCTCATTATTCCCAAATCAATGGGGTCTGTGGCTTGTGAGGAGCACTTGAAGGAGCTGGGTATGTTTAGCCTGCAAAAGAGGAGACTGAGAGGAGATATGGGAGCCATCTTCAAATATATCATGGGTTGTCACGTGGAAGAGGGAACAAGATTGTTTTCTCCTGCTCTGGAGAGTAGGACTCAAACCAATGGCTTCAAGTTGCAAGGAAGGAGATTCTGACTAAACATTAAGAATAACTTTCTGACAGTAAGAGCTGTTCAGCAGTGGAACAGTGTCCCATGAGAGGTGGTGGACTCTCCTTCCTTGGAGGTTTTTAAGCAGAGGTTGGATGGCCATCTGTCATGGATGCTTCAGCTAAGAATCCTGCATTGCAGGGGGTTGGACTAGATGACCCCTGGGTCCCTTCCAACTCCAAGATTCTATGATTCTGTTCACACAGTAGTTTATAACATTTAAAACCAACATCAACAGAACAGAATACTAAAACCTAACAAATCCCAGCCAACAGCTTTAGATGGAATGAGGAAAATGGACTTAGATTCTTGAGGTTGCTGGAGTGCCATATTTTATTCAGTCTGGACCCTGGGTTTCAGGGCTAAGCCTCAGGGAACTTTGGTTCAAAAGGAAGCCTGCTTCTCCTTACAGCTAACACCATTTGAGATCAAGGCCTCTACTGCTGAGTTAGAAAAACCAAGTGTCGGAGCCTTCCTCACAACAGAAACCATTTCAGAATGCTGGTGCGGACTGCCTGGCTAAATGCTCTTCTACACAGAAAGTTGGCTTGTCAGGGAGAAGGATTCATAAGCCCTATTTACGTGTTACTCACATGTCAGGCACCAATGTGGAATTTAGCCTGACTCCTGATGTTGAATTAGTCTCTCTCAACAACCATGTGTTGCATGCAGTTGTGGGGAAAGAAAACCCAACGTGAAAGCTGCTACTCTATGTGATTGGGACGCCTGATTCTGATCGCGTGAAGCCCCTACACACAAGCAGAAGCTCACACACTGGGCTTTTTTTACACAACGCATGGCTGTTGAAAGATGATGTCAGGAGTGAGCCTAGAAGCCAACTTCACACTTAACCCCCTGCAGGTGAGTAACACGTGAGCATAGCCTTCAACCTGATGCACATGGTATTTTTTCACAGGTGGGAGCATTCAAAGCACATGGTCCCCACCTGCATCCTGAACTGGTACAGTCCAGGGAATGAGGACCACCTCAGTGTCCTACATCCAAATTAGTTACTGAGATACTGAAGGGAGCTGCAGAGCAACTAAGAGCTGGAAGCAGAGGGTGGGCCTTTAGGAAGCGACAGCAAGGGATTAAAAATGAGACAATGGAGCCAAACGCCACACCAAATACCTGTTCTAAGAACGGAGCTGTTAGCTGGGCCAGGTGTGTTGCCATCAGGTACGCCAGGTGCAAATGTGACATGGTGAGCGGAGCCAGGGCTACGGCCAGGCGGTGAGCTCCTCTCCCAGTTCCTGGCTGCCGGTATGTGATGCTTTTCAGGCAGCGGGGGCTGCTGTGGCTCGCAGAGCGGTTCCCGTTCGGAGAGGCTGCTCTCGGCGCCCGTGTAGTAGGCTGTCGCAATGGGGAAGGCCGGGGTTGGAGAGCCCTGCATGTCCGCGAAACCATAGCCAGGGGCTGGCGGCTGGACACTGATTGGGTAGGGCCCGAGAGAGGGACTGCTGTTGGGGCACCGGAGAAGGGGGCTCCCCTCGGCCTCATTTCTCTCACAGTGCAGCTGCCCATTGTAGGCTGCTGGGATCTGAGGTGAGGCTGGGGCACTGGACACAGTTCGGCAGCCGGGAGGAGGCTGGCTGTAGCAAGGGACCCGTAAGCTGCTCCTCAGGGCCGGTCTCTCCATGACGGGGCTTAGCTGAGGCCGTGAGGCTCCCTCAACAGACGATTCGCAGGAGACTGTCGTGGCCTGGAGGCTAGAGCTCTCTGAACCGTTCTGGTGTGGCTGGTCCTCTGCTGGGACGCCATGTTTGGCTGTGGGTGAGGGGGTGATGTGTGGAGGGCTGGAAGAACAGTGGGTGCGGGGGCACAGCTGTGGTGCTTGGAGGCCTGGTCTCAGAGAAGTCCCATTAGCCTGTGGGCGGAAAGTGGGGAGGTGTGTGAAGGCCTGCATTGGGGTGAGCATCTGTGTGGGGCTGCTTGAAGACGCCATCTTCTCTGGGCCTCTTTTCCAGCCAGGAGAAGCCAGCTCTTCGGGGCTCAGCCGCAGCACGTTTTCAGGGAGGTTGGTGCCCTTGTTGCTGTGCTTGAAGGTGCCAGGGCTGTGAGAGAGAAAGCATATCATTAATAAATCTTGACAATAGCATCTAGCACGCCCAGAAAAAGATGTCCATGCTGGCAAGCAGGGGAAAAGCCACAGCCGCTCAAACTGGTAGTTGGGTGGGAGGGACCCAAGTGTATCCAAGGGCCACAGATTACTATTAGGGCTCATCCAGGCTTCCGCTTGTCCTGATCACAAGGAGTGTGGTGGAGTCTCCTTCTTTGGAGGTCTTTAAGCAGAGGCTTGACAACCATATGTCAGGAGTGCTCTGATGGTGTTTCCTGCTTGGCAGGGGGTTGGACTCGATGGCCCTTGTGGTCTCTTCCAACTCTATGATTCTATGATTCTATGATTCTATGATCTCTCGGCAGGGGTCTGAGAGGTTCTTCTTTTGTCTGCCACTTTCCTCGGAAAAACCCCATGGTTTCCACTGAGTCAGAACAAACGTCAGTCGGATTTTCTGCAGATTGATGTTTGTTTTGATTCAGTAGTAAACTGCAGGGGGTCCAGGGAAAGCGGAAGGGTGAAAGGCAAACCTCTCTTACCCATGCCTAGAAATCACAGGACAAACAGAAGGAAACAAGTGGCAAAGGGTAGTGTGGAGAAGCCCTTATTCGAGTTTGGTACTGCCTTTCTGCCCAGTGAGGATCGTCAAGGTGGCTTTTTTTGGGGGGGGGGATTACAGCCTTTCACATAATGCACACAAGATTGACTGGCCCACAGTATTGTTTTACTGGCTCAGCTGAACAACGACCTCAGTGATTGCACAGTTCTTCTGCCCCATTGCCTAGAGGCAGTTCGGAACTTATCAGGAGTTGGCAAGTTGTTGCTGACATGCTTGCAATAATAAGAGTTAACCAGAAACATTAATACCCATTGACCAATAGCTACAATAATAAAAACCAATCAACAAAACAGCTGTCAGACTTATTTAGAGTGCATGTGCAAAATGTGGAGTTCTGAGGCTTTAACTCTTCTCCTACTCACCTGTCACCCTGCTATGGTTCACATCCAGGAGAAGAGTCCTGCACCTGCTGCTTTTGTGTTTTTAAGTGTCGTTTGCTAGTCTCACGAATGGCATCTTGCTAAGTTTGGTCTTCAGCTTGAGCACCTTGTTTCTCAGAGCCAGGTTGATAGCCCAGGTGCTCTGCTTGAGCCGCCTGACAACATGCCCTGGCGCACACACAGACAGCACTGCCACAGTGGCTGCCAGTTGCAAGGGAATACTAGACTGTCTTTTAGGGAACATTCCTGACCTTTTCACCAAGGAACCCCTGATATGCTTCAAAAAATCTGATATGTTTTCTGGAACACAGTTCAAACAATGGCTCTATAGGTAAAGTTAATCGCTCTACAGGATAATGATTGACAGCTGGCTTTGACTTTGAAATAGGACAGAAAGATTACTTTAGAAAGAGCCACAGGTAGGAAATGTGTGCTGGCTTCTCTGTGGTGCACCCACCTGTCACTGCTGAATACTGGACTGCTGGTGTGGAAGGAAGTGGGAGAGCCAGAGATGTCTGCACAGTGAGCCCGTACCTCCTGACGATGCTGCGGAAGGGAGATGGGACCGTCATGCCAGGCCATCATGCCATCCCTGCAGTCTTGCAGCTCTGTGGAAAGGAAAGGAGAGGAAATGCAGACGGTCTGTTGGAATAGCACAAAGCCATTCCGACACATTCATAGGGAACGGGTCCCAGATTCCAGGGCCTTGGGCACAATGATAGCTTTTCATAGGATCTCTCCTGCATAGGCATTGTGGCAACAAAAGCCCAGCATTTGATAGCTGCCTCTGCTCTTGCACGGAACCCCTTAGATATGTTTAGTAGTACGGAGTAGTGGTTAGAATGCCGGGCTCATGGGCATCCGGGGAAGGGGAGAAAGGAGCCAGTTGCTGAGAACTGGGGAGATTATGGCTCACCTTTCAACTCAAAAATGGAAGCCAGCAGCAAAGGGTCCACAATCTCTCTAACTGTTATTTCACACATACACAGACTTCCCCCAAGTCTGTAAACATTTAAAAAAATTATTCCCCTAATGCCAATGCAGATGAAAGTCTAAAATGATTAAACCCAAGTTGTGGAGCTGTGGCTCAAAAACCACACGTTACACCAGCCCTGCAAAGTAACCCAGTGTTATAATGCCCATTGTGCTAAAGGAAGGGGGGAGTTTGTACAATAGTGTACAGTAACTCTGAAATGCAGTCCAGTTGTGCTACCTAGGTTTGGGTTTTTAAAAAATAGAAAAAAGAAAGGGGGATGGCTGTGAAGCTGACTGTAGCAACAGTGCAAATTTAGAAAAAGAACCACCTGGTTGCCTTCTAAGCTGTTCATGTGCACATAGCCTTAAAGGCTGGAGGGGGCCAGGGAAACAACTGAGGGTTTCAGCAGCAAGTAGAAGCACAATGTCTGGATACCAGGTCTACCTGTTTGGCAATAAAGCTGTATATACAAGCAGGTTTCTGAAATGCACAGGGGACATTTTTTCACAGCGCGCTTTTGTACATAGCAGTTTGCGCAATGACATCATCTGTGCTGTCTGTACAAATAGGCAGGTGTATTTTCAGACTAATGCACAAAAGTGTTCTCTATTGCCCTCCCCTCAAATTAGTGATTCCACAGAACACACACACACACACACACAGACACAGTGTCTTTCAAAAGAGACTGTCTGGTGACTGGTGTGCAGATAAACTGATATACAGAATATATATATATATATAAGTATACAGAAGCAGCTGAGTTACTGTCCTGCTACTCTGCATCTTTCATTCACAGACAAGGTAAACATGGTGAGGTGAAGTCCAGCAACATCTGGAGGGCCACAGGTTCCCTGTCCCTGCACTAAGGTCTCTGGACGTTCACCCTTGCCCTTTTCCTAGCGTTCCTCTCTAGCCACGTGATACAGCCCCCATAACTGCTGAACCTGAAATCCTTGGCGGGGGGTGGGAACCCTTGGCTATGAAGGCCCAGGATGCCTCCTGTGCTGGCTTGGAAATGGCGCCCCTCCCTGAGAGTCACACTCACCACGCTGCCTTTCCACAGGTGCTGGCGGGAGGAATTCGTCGCTGCTCTCTGGGGGCTCATAGCCCTGCTTCCTGGTTGGTGGATACAGGGGGCTGGTTGGCGAAATGGAGTGGGGAGATCCAGAGTATCCAGAGACAAGGCAGGCCTTGGCTGGGCCCCGGCCGTAGGCGTAGGATGGCCCTGGAGGGTAAGGGGGGCCATAGCGGGGGTAAGGAAACGCCTCGGCATTCTCCTCCATCACTTTGGACCTCTGGTGGGCTTGGTAAGCGTGACCTATGTGCCCTGCCACCATCTTGGGCTCAAAGTTAAAGGCTTGGTGTTGCCCATGGGGCACATGGTGGTGCCCATAGGTAGCGGGCATTAGAAGTGGCACAGGCTGCCCTTCCCGGTGGAGCGGGTGATGAAGCAGCGGCGGCCTTGCGTTTTCCACCCCCCACAGATCAGGGTCCCGGTCCAGGCGCAGGCTGTAGAAGGCAGCCGTGGGCAACCTTGCCTCTTCCCGAGCCATCTCTTGGCAATCTTGGCAGGGGCATAAGAAAGTGGGTGGGTCCTCCAAGATGAGCAGCTCCTCATGCTCCCGTCGGCTGGGGCTGTGAGGCGACAGTGGCTCATGGCCGAAGGGGTAGGCGTGGGGCTGTATGCCCTCGGACAGGGAGCGGAACACCCGCCGTTTCTCTTCGTACCTCTCAGGATGCGCGTGAGAGGGCCCGCCATTATAGAGGGGCTGCCGCCGCTCCAGAGTGCCATCTGGTCTGTAGTAGGCCACGTTGTGAGGCCTCTCAGGGCTGTGGGGCCGGTACCCAAGGCGGCAGGAACAATGGCGGGCCAGGCCAGAGCGCTGAGCTTGGTAGGAAAAGTGGATTCCTGGCTGACCGATGTCTGAGAGCTCATCTTCCAAAATGGCCGTTTCTCTCTCTTTGGTAGGAGAAGGGGAAACGGCATGGGGGCAGCTCCCTTCACTCGGCTGCCGAGGCTGGACACCAAAGCCCCCCAAGAGCCGGTCCAGCTCCTCCTTCTCGGCAGCTGTGGGCTGTGGCCTGGACGGTGGCGTGCTCTCGTCCGCCTTCTCGGTCAGCAGGGAGGAGTGTCCCGAGTCGCTGCTGATGGACAGGAAGCGCCCACCTTGCTGCGGAGGGGACTCTGGTCCGCTGGGGCTGCCATTGGTGGTGGTGGAGGAGAAGCTACTCAGGTCACCTTTCTTCTTGATCCGGGCATAAAGGCTTCCATCAAGAGGACCCCGGGTGTGCAAGACATCTGCAAAGGACAAGTGAAGCAACTACTCAGGGAAGGCTGTGGGTGATGCAGAGCAGTAGGTGAGATTGGCATTCAAACGGCACATGTGGCCTGGAGTCTCCCCAGTCAATGGCTTGCGCCTGTGTGCCTGGAACACGTTTGTCCAGGTGCCTCATGCTCTATGCTCATGTTTTAGACTGGGAGTGGGTAACTTTTACATCGGGGTGGGGAACCTTTTTGGCTCTGCGGGCCAGATTCTTATCAGGATCTAGCCTTGCAGGCCAAATTTGACAGGTGGGTAGCGCTGCGCACCAAGTAACTGGGCGCTTCAAAGTTCTGCATTCGGAACTTCAAAGCACCACACTCAGCTCAGACATCAGGTGTGTGAGCAAGTTCCCCATGGGGCTCTCCCTTGCACATCAGATCCAGATTTTGGCTCAACAGCCCATCAGCTGATGGGCAGAAGAGACAAAGTCCGCTTTCCCTTGCCAGTGCACCCTCAGGAGCACACTTTAAGGTTTCTGATGGTGCATTGGCAGTAGCATCTTCACCTGCCTCACACCCGATAACATCACCTATGGAATCTATATTTTTGACAGCTCTTGCCTTCTTTTCTCCAGACAGTGGACTGGGGACCAGAAGCCTATTCTACTGCATGAACTGACCACCCTCAAGAACAACCTTGCACCTTTAAAAACTTGGCCCCATCTACGTACCTCAGAAAAGCATGGTTCAAGTAGTGAAATATATATTGTGACTATGAGTTTGTGCTCCAGTTCCTCAAGTAATTAAAAAACTTTTTTTAAAAGGAAATTTGTTTATTTAATTGGGCAAAGTGTGTATAAATGAAAAAGCCTACATGTGTTTCTTTAAAACAGTGACAAAAAGGCGAGCAAGCACACTTGATGTGCAAAGAGTGGAGCATTGACTGGCTAGTGGCTGTTTGTTGTACAAGTTATGGAACCAGATTCCTTCGATGATGAAGAACCTGCTTTCTTAAAATCCTTTTATTTATTTTTTATTTATAAAAAAATTTAAACACTGCTGTATCATTAAAATATATCACAGCAATTTATAACAATATCAAAACATATATTAAATCTAAAAAATTAAAAACAAGTTAAAAGTAAAAAAATAAAAAATAAACATCAAGCCTATCTTCATCCCTAAAACTGGGATGAAAGCCTTTTGTGGGCTGCATCCGACTGTTATTTCTGGTAATCAGGTTTTCTAGGTTCCTTTATTTTCCTTTCAAAATCCTGGAAAACCAATTTGGCCAGAAGCTACAGTGAGTCAAAAGAAATATATATGAATATTGCAGAAAGCAAAGCCTCTCTCTGAAAGCACCTTCACCTCTCTTAAAAACTTCTGTCTCTCTTCTGCCATAGCTTTGGTTTAATGAACATGGCTGAACTAGAATCAGGCCTTGTCCAGTATGTGTATGGGGGGGGGGTCCACTGGGGCCTGTAAAGGGTGCATTTCTTCCTCATATATACACCTTTCTGAGAGGCCATTACTATCCATCCATTGATCCAACTCATCGTTATACTTTATTTTCCAAATTTATGGCACTCTTTCTCCACAAACACACACATTGCAGAAGATGGCCTCCTTTCTCTAAATATCAGCTCCTGCTGGGAAGGAGGAAGGAGTTTTATTCCATCCTGTTGACGTTTTTCTGGCATTTGAGGCAGACGTGCCACAACTATTAAATTCCCATTTGCTTACTCCCTTCGGTATTTTATTTATTTTAGTTCTTAACGAGTTTACTTTAAGTGGATGTTAGGAGGAAACTGTAATCAGGGTTGACTGCGTAAAAACCAGCTGCTGGGATTACAGCTCCCAGGGGCAAAAAAGTCACTTTAGTCCAGCTGTGTCTGTGCTGGGGAGGAGCCCCATCATCCTGTCCAGTCTGGGGTTTCAGACTCTGAAACACCAAATTTCTTTTAAAATCAAGGGAGAACTTGGAGCTCCGCTCATCTACTCAAAGTGCAACCAACCAGCGCAGGAAGTTATGATGGGCTGATTGAATTGCAGCACACAGCTCAGACTTGAAAGAAGCCTTAGAGCCAACAGCAGAAAGCTGCCTGAAGCATCCTTGTGAAAACAAAAACTAATCTCAATATTGTCCACTTTTAGGTATAAGCAGAGTGCATGGTGCTTAGATATAAGCATGTGTGTACGTCTGAGGCACATCTTATGTGCATTAATCCTATGTGATTTCAACTATATGCATTTGGCTGCAGCTCCAGTCCAGGATCCCTTCCAGAGTTTTTCTTCTGGCTGTGACGGATCTGCCTTCATCTCTCCGACCACCTTCCTCCTCCTCCCTTCCACAGGCAGAGTGAGGGGAGGCAGTGGAGACACCAAGAAGGTCTCACCACAAAGCTCTTCCCCGCTCCTCCGTGCCCCTGCCTTGTCAGCCAGCAGCCAACCAGAAGAAGGCAATTTTGCCTATACAGTCATACCTCGGGTTGAATGTGCTTTGGGTTGAGCACGTTCAAGTTGCGCTCCATAGCAAACCGGAAGTAACAGAGCGTGTTACTTCCGGGTTTCGCCACTCGCGCATGCGCAGACACTCAAAATGACATCACACGCATGCGCAGAAGCGGCAAAACACGACCCGCGCAAGCACAGACTTGCCGTCGCTTGTTACGTTTGCTTCAGGATGCGAACGGGGCTCCGGAACGGATCCCGTTCGCATTCCAAGGTACCACTGTACATGATTTTTGCATATGCACGCTACCCTTGGAACATAATCCCAGTGCATGATGTGACTCAACTGTACATCCTCAAATATAACAGCAAAATTCGGTGGCACGACAACCAGACTTCTGCATCAAGAAAATCTCAGTTCTGCAAATACCAAATCCTGGGTCCAAGTGAGGAATTGCAGAAAACAGACACACATACACAGTCTTGCCCAAGTAGCGTGGCAAGAAGGGTGTAAGTCCTAGGAAGAGACTGCAGGAATGTCTTTGTTGGAAGCCGCCCAGAGTGGCTGGGGAAACCCAGCCAGATGGGCGGGGAACAAATTAATAATAATAATAATAATAATAATAATAATAATAATTCCCTGTGTACCTTCCAGGCTGTCCTCATGGTGCAGGTTGAAGTTTTCATAGGAGTCCCAGCGCACTATGGGATTCGAGATGTTGTAATCTACTGCAACAGCAGCGTTGTTCCTGTAGGTCTCGCGGCCTGAGGAAAGAGACAGGAAGCGCCAGAGAACCTCAGCATTAGAAGGATTAAGTGCCTTCAAGATAACGTATGGAATGGATAGCATATTCCAATGGCTGCACACCAGTCAGCAGAGTTATAAAAGGATTGTGGATGTGCATATTTACTTAATTGTATAACCTAGGATTTTCTGCAACAGGCTCAAGCATGACTAACAACGTTTTTAAAAAGCCTAATCTGTGGGGTTTTTTACAAACAGGATTCCCATGTTTCTGTCACTCTGCCCAAGATGGGCCTATGAGGATAGATCTAGTCAAGCCCCCATGTAAGGAGTGCATTTCTTCATTTTCTACTATGTCAGTTAATGGTTACCTTTCACTGCAACGGGAAAAATAAAACACTATCATTGGGAATGACATTGAAGTAAAGGTAAAAATCTGGCTACCCCCCACCCTTCCTCCCGCCCCGCCTGATGGAACTGAGAGCTGCAGATGGAGCACGAGAGAAAAGATACAGAACTGTGGCATAGTTCATGGTACTGCAGCCATATCCCTCCAACTCTGTCATCCACCCACCTTTAATTTTCTCGGGGCTGGAAGAGAAGACAAACTCCACACTTGCTTCAAATGGGAACCGTTCATCTAGGGAAGGAAAACAGAGAGATGAGGTGAATAGCCTGACTGTTGCGCCTGGGCTCTTATAAGGCAGGAGTGATTACCTGCATCACATGCCATGTTCACGCAAACACTGGCTTTAGTCTGAAATGCACTTGCAACCCCCTTCAACTATAACCTGAGGTTGTTCTCAAGGTGCGTCCTGTAGTGGAACCTTGCAGAACTAGACTCTAGGAGAGCCACTCTAGACTCTAGGAGAGATTTTGTTCAGCAAAATCTTGGCCTCTACAACTTAAGGCTGAATTCAGTTTCTGAATGCTTCCTTCAAATAAAAAACTCCTTTGTGGAGATAAATAACACACCAGGGAGAAAAGGTTCTGGCCTACCCTCCCCCCCCAATGTCCATGTGCAGCACATTTTTCACTTGCAGGGACAGTTTAAAAATGTGACTCCTTCTCTTTTAAGTCCTAAGTGGTACAGCCTGGGATGGACTCTACCATGGAATTTTGCTGAACATGCAAACCAGACCTTGGTCTGCTGCAGCAAGCATATGAAGAGATTAGGCAAGAAATAGGTTCTTGTCTACAAAAACTCATGCTGCAATAAATTAACCTTACCAGACTTTGAGTAGACCTGGGGAAATTAATGAACAAGACTAAGTTGGGTCCACTGATTTCAACAGGTCAGCTCTGAGTTGAATGCCACCCTTTTGCTTTGATTTCTTGTTGCCCAAGGATTAGGCCTCTTGCTCTCACCTCTCCAGGCTTCATCCAACTCATCTTTACCAAACCACAGTTGGGTGCTGTGGATGGTGCAGGTGTGGAACTGGACCCGGAACACAACATCACGCTCGCTGCCCTGGAGCTGCTTGTGGTAACATTTCACCTAAGAAAAAGGAGGGGAAATGAACATAATAATCACTCGAGGCCTAGCTCTCCCAGCTGGCAAGCGGGCTTCTGCTGCTACCCACCATACACAGCTGCCTGGGCACGCTCAAACGTTCACATATACCAAGCCCACAGATTTTGTACACATTTACTGTGGCACCATTATTTTCATGGTCAAGGAACATTGACGGAAAGTACTTGAGTTGATTCAGAATATAGGAAGATCCTGCTGGATGAGGCCAATGGCCCTTCCAGGTCACACAGTGGCCAACCAGGTGCCTATGGGAAGCCTGCATCCGGACTGAAGATGCTGGATGATGAGCTCTCCAGAGACCCAGTAGCAATTATATTATGCATTAACTTATTTTGTCTTCAGCCAAACTGGAAGAAAACTGAAACTCTAAGAGTGTGGGAAACAGATGAAGTGATGAATCGGCTAATTACAGTTAATAAGGCTGTCAGCATTTCCTAGGAGTGTTGGAAATTGCTTGAGAAAGAGATGAAAAGAAGACAAGGTTCCAACCAGAAAAGAATGGCTGATGAAGATGATGTACTCTGCCGAAATGGCAAAATTGACCAGGACGAGAAGAAGTTCAGGAAAGAATGGGGAAAATTTATAACTTATTTAAGAGAACATTGTAAACAACTAAAACCTTGGCAGGATTAGAGTAATACTTGTAAAAGACAAAAGTTAATAACAGATTGGGGGTGGGGGAGAGGATAAGTTGAATAAAAAGGGATTGACAATGAAAACCAGAGAAAGGCGGAGGGAAGTCAAGGGATTTGGAGAATCCTAAATGTGATTGAAATGTTTAAATTGAAATTTGTTATGTAAAAAAATTTTTTTTAAAGGAAATTGCTTGAGATAGAGCCATCGCTACTCAGGGTACACCCCCACACTTCCTCTCCACTCCCCCTACCTCACTCATCTCCAGTCGAACATATTTCATAATTTTTGGAGACATTATTTTAAAATATGTAAACCTGCTGACCAGAGGCAAAAGTGAGGTGAGCCACTTCGAGTCACCTTCTCTGGGAAAAACAGAGTGGATCATTTGTTTGTTTTAAATAATGATGCCAGAATCTCCACAGGGGTATCCAGTGTGGTGGCCTCCAGTTGTTAGACTCCAACTTCCACCAGCCCCAGTCAACATGGCAAGTGGTCAGGGATGATGGGAGTTGTAGTCCAATAATATATGGAGGCCACCAATCTCACTACCCCTTATGTAACAGCATGTTCAACATTTCAAGGAAGAGAGCATACTTGGGATCTCTTTACCAGCCACGGCATAAATGTGTTTCTGAGTCTTAATTCTTCCTTAAGAATATAAAGAAGTGTCTTGCTGGATCAGAGGTCCACCAAGTCCAGCCTTCCCACCTTACATCCTGATCTCCTGCCAGCACTCACCAGGACATCCCCTTTCAAGAGCAAGGCTGGCTCCAGACTGATGCAGAGCTTCTGAGTTCCACCAGAACCATGAAGACTGCTGTAAGACAGGAAGAAACAGGAGGACAGCTGGGATGGAAGCTACAAGGAGATCTTATCTATGAAGAATTCGGAGGGTGACCTAGGCATTTGCCCGAGGCAGAACCCACTCATACTCACTAGATCCCAGACGTGTACACCAGCTGCATGGACTGGTAGATCTTCAAGAAGGGTTGATAACCTGGAAGAGGAAAGATGAGAACGTAAGAGAAGCCTGATGGGTCAGGCCAACCAACTCAATTCCTAAGGAAAGTTGGGCATGTGTATATAATTTGGTGACTCTACTGATTTTCAGTTCTAGCACCAGTACTAACAATTCCACACCTACACCATGTGGAGTCTTCTTATTCACAAGGCCTTACATAGGTCAAATGTGCATCAGGACCAGCTTCCCTGCCTAAGCAAAGAGTTCATTCTACAACCCCATTTCATGCAGATGGGGTGCACACTCAGATCAGAATGTATTGGAGAGCATACCATAAATAGCACAATAACATGGGGCTTGTGTTCTAATTCTGAGATTGTGGGTACTCCTTGAATTGTGACCCCCTTGAATGGTTGCCTAGTTTACTGGCAGACGAACTAGCCTTGTATACACACTCACACTTTCTCCTATGTTTGTGTCCTAGCACACACTTAGGGACATAAGAGCCCTGCTGGTGATAAAAGCATCATGTTTTCAACAGCAGCCAGTCAGATACCTCTGGGAATTCTTCAAACAGGGCACAAAGGCAACCCAAGGCTTCTGAACATGGGGTTCTCGTTTAGGCAGCCTAACTAAGAGCCACTGACAGGTGTCCCTTCCATAGATTTGTCTCAGATTAAAAGCCATCTAAACCCTTGCCCCCTCCCCCACATCTGGTGGCAGTGAATTCCCTAACTTTATTATAGTGTATTGCTCTCTTTACTGGGCTTTAAGTGCCATTGTTTAGGTAGCCCCCCACCCGCAAAAGGGAGGTTTCAACACAATTAGAAAACCCCAAGTACAAAGAAATCTTTTTGGGGGGAACCCTAAAAGGCGAGGGATAAAACAGCCCACCTGTGAAGTCATGGAGCATGCCTAGCAGGCAAAGACTGTTGACAGCTTTTGCGGGGTGAGGTGGGGTGGGGTGGCAGACACAGGGCATGGGAAAAGGAACCGTGTGTGTGTGTGTGTGTGTGTGTGTGTGTGTCACACTGCAACATTTTGTTGCAGGCCCCACACGTGAAGAATTGTCGATCAACGTAAATGAGCAACTTCAAGATTTAGTGTTATGAGAGAAAGCGAAAAATCTCCCTATTTGTGCTCTCCATGCTATTCTCAATTTTATAAAACCCTACCAGGTCAGTTCCCCTCTCTCCCTCTTGCTTTTTCTTACCCTTTTGGTCACTCTTGTTTGACCTGAAATAGTGCTATGCACAAATGCGTGCAAGAACAGACGGGAGGTGCAAGAACAGACTTTTAAGCCATGCCCATGCCGGTCTTGCATTTGAATGGGGAGATGCATTTTCTGGACATCACCTGCAGCACTTACCTCCTCCAGCCCCAAAGGTAGGGATAGCTGGGAGAAGAACATGGTGCAGAAACAGGGTGTTGCTGTTCATCTTGATGGTGCCTGAGAGTAGCCCACTAAAATACTGGATATACCTGTCCACAGGGAAAAGAGAGAAGGGTCAGCCACAAGCTCTTAGGCTTACCAACAGGATTCCAGGAGAAATTCTGGGTCTCAAACCTACCTCCTCCTTTACCCCTTAGCCTCTAAACTCCCTGTTTCATAAGAGCAGCCAAGAGCCCCAATAGGCGGGAAGTCCCTATCTGTGTCGTCCCACATCTGACAGCCCACGGGGTGGAAAGTGTCTCAAAGAAGAAAACATCTCCACAATTAGAAAATCGGCATCCTGGGGAGAAAAGCTGGCTAGAATCCAGCTCCCCAATGTCTAGTTACCTCTGTATAGGGAGCTTTTTTATGTGTCTATGGGGAAAAATTCACTTCTACCAGGTGTAATTCAGATGATTCAGTTGGCTTTGACAGCTCCAAAGCCTCCAGGCTTTATCAGGCTAACAGGAAGTTTACAACTAGCCCCCTGAATCACTGCTCCTCTTCCATCTTCACTCTCCATCTCCAAATCTCTGCAACACAGCGTAGCAGCTACTACACCTGTCCAGATGACCAGGTCTGCTTGGTGGGAGCACAACAGCTATGCAGCCCCTGTTAACTGCAGGTGCACTGGGAGTGGGCTGTCCTGAGGGATGGGCACATCTATCACTTTTGGTTTCTCGGTTTCTCATTTTTCCATTCTTAAGTTCAAGTCTCCACATCATGAAATCCATTTTTAAATCCTCATGAAAATGCATAAGCATTTTAATACAAATTTCTCCAAATACACATTTTTCTATGCAATTTTGCATACAAAATTTTACACATTTTACACATTTTCGCAAAGCAATTTACCCAAATATAATGCATTTTTATGCTATTTTTACTAGTATATGCATTTTTATGCAGAGTTTACCCTAGTATATGCATTTTTAAAAACAATTACAGAGGGCTCATCCACACTTCCACTTGTCCCATGCCTTGCAAGCACGGGTCCAAGCCGCTTTCTGCTTCTCCCGTACAATCTAGGCAAACATCCGAGCACTTATGCCTTTGCCCTGCTACTTTCCCCCAGAAAATCTGCTCTTTGGTGCTAAATCGGAACAAACAACAACTGTGGAAAAGCAGATTGCCGTTTGTTCCGATTCAGCATTAAACCACAGGTTTTCCCAGTGGAAAGCAATGGGGCAATTTAAAGTATGGATGAGCCCTTAGCTGGAGAACTGCACTGCAAAATTCGGAGAAGTGCAACTTTTGAAGGAAGTGCAAACCAGGTAGATTTGTCTTTAAACGTGAACTGAATTGAATTTTTCCTTTGTTCCTAGCTATTGCACCTAACACTATCAACACCTTTTCTCTCCCTGAGGATCTTGTGGATTTGTGAGAGTAGGAGGGCACGCTGGATAGCCAGAATGGTCTTCGGGCACAAGGGCTTCATGTCTAGTGCAACATGCACACAAACACACCCACCCCATTTCTGTGTTTTCCTAAAGTTTCTCACAGCACACCCCTGCAACGCCTTGCCATGATGCGTTTTCCACCCACCCTGCAGCTTATTTCCACATGCATGACAGCAGAGGAAGAGGGGGAAGTGGGGTGGGGGTGAAGCTGCAGGCCTCACCTCTTCTGGGAGGGTTGCAGAGAAGCAGCCACCTTGTCCTCGCAGAACTTGCGCATGGTCAGTGTGCTGAGGGCCTGGTCTGCACTGAGGAAGGAAGAAAGGAAAGAGGCCAGTGAGTGCCTGCATGTCTCTGTCTTGAGCTGAAGACAGAAGCCAAGTAGAGTTACAGGCTACCACACACAACTACAGCCCCCTCCCCACATTGCTTGGTACCTTGCAGAGATTTTGCTGTAGTACATGTAGGCTGCTACGATCACGCCAGTCTTGCCCTTATTGCCCTGGCACAAAGAGGGAGAAGGAGAGAGAGACAAGGCATTAAACACTGGAGCTAGGACCATAAAATGCAGCAGCACCATCAGCCTAGGAGTGCAAGAAGTTTCCCAAAAAACTATGGGAACCAACTCAGAGGCTGGGGGAGAGACAGAAGAATGGCTGTGAGAACCCACAGATCATGACTTGCAGAAGTCAAAAGCCCTTTCCCCAGTCTCTGGTGTCTTTGCAGTCCCCTCTGTCTCCACCATCCCCAGCCACTTCCCCTAAATGCCCATCTATAATGGCCAGGGAAATTAGGGCAGTTTCCTCTGCACCTTGCAGTGAAGCACAACCACATGCTGTGGGTCTGAGTTCAGCCAGGTCTCCATGGCTTTGCAGATGGAGCAGATTTTGTCCAACGGTGGGGCGTGGAGGTCTGGCCAGCCAAAGTCTTGCACCTGTGCCGGGAAGGAGAGAGAAGCATGGGCGTTAAGGAGGCACATGCGTATACGAAGGCAGAACAAATGGAACCAGAGCCAAGAGAGTCAGAGTGTATTTTATTTTTTACTACAGAACAATGGGAAAGAACATCTACTTTGCATGCAGGTGGTTCCAGGTTCAATCCCCAGCATCTGGGAAAGACTCTGGTCTGTAACCCTGGAGAGCCATTACTGGGCAGGAGTGGACAGTGGAGTGGCATCACACATTTGACCTCCAGGAGGAGAGTTGTTGCGGTGCAAGTGCACTGGCAGAGCCAATCCAGTGGTATTGCACCACGCTGACCTCACTGCCACCTTGTTCCTCCTCTTCCTCCTCCAATCTCACTAAAAAGCAGCAGCAGTGCCCCACCACAACATCTGCTACCTCAGGCAATGCAGAAAATAGCTGGACCAACACTCTGACTCAGCACAAGGCAGCTTCTTACGTTCCCTATATCCTGCTACTGGAAACCCAAGTTTAATTATGAAAATGCATGTGCAAATCAAACAAATCTGTAGCTTACCCTTCACACAGCTACAATTCCTAGCACCCTTAACAAACTAAAGTTCCTAGGATTATTTGGGGGGAGTCATGTGCCTTAAATGTGCGATTTGCATACGGCCAAAAGTGACAGCTGCAAGCTTGACTCACTGTCTGTTTACCTTGTGTTTAGAAAGGCACAGACAGTTATTTTGCAAGTTTCCATCGTGAGAATTTTCGAGACCCGCCACCACAAAACTCTGTCCCCAGATCAATCTAAGCATTTGAGGCCCAACCCTTCTCTCCCTCACCTTGGGGTTCAGCCTGATGATGTCATGCCGCTTCTCTGACAGGTTGAGGAGCTGTTGACACAAAGAAACATCTCATTGGCCTCTGTTACTCACAGTGCCCCCCTGGCACAATTACCAGCCAGCCAATATTGCACTCATCAAGCCAGTATTTCTCTGCCCCTCACCAGCATGAGCTGCAAAACCCCACCGGATTCTAACCTGCCTCTGCCTGCTCTAGTTCTGCCACCAACCCTGATGCCCAGGGACTCTGTTTTTAAATTAAAACATTGGCAAGCCTTCCCCATCCTCCCATTCCAACTTTTCTCCCCCTCCCCAGACCAGTTCCATCCATCTTCTGTGCTCCCTGTTCCTTTGCAAAGCCTACAAAACGCAGAAGTGTGTCTGTACAGCCCAGAAGAAGAATACCTACAAGGGTATCTGCATTGGCGGCTTGCAGATTTCCAGTGCCATACTTCAGGTAGGAGACTGAACTGAGGAACAGGGAGAACAGGACGAATTCCAAGGGATGAGCTGTAGCTCAGGAGCAGATCACTTGTTTCTCATGCAGGAGGTCCTAAGTCCTACCCCCTGTGTCTCCAGATAGGGATGAAAAACACCCTTGCCTGAAATCACTGCCAGACAATAACTGAGCTAGATGCACCAATGGTTGGACACAGTATAAGAAAGATCCCTACGCTCCTGTGCTGAGCATCCTGTGTCTACATGGTATGGTGCTCCCCATCTCTCTAAGAAGCAGGCATCCCTCACACACTCACTCAACCCCAGGTATCCAGAATGGCTCACTTTTTGATTTTACATGCCCATCCTGCAATAGCCCCCTAATGGATGTTTTACTGGCTTCCCTTGGCTTCTTTACCATGTACTTGTCCTCATGCTTGGATTTTAGCATCTGGGCCACCTCCCGAAGGTTGCCACGGTAACGCTGCTCCTCCAAGGCCAGGGGGAAGAAGACAGAGATGATGCGCTCAGTGATGTAGGTGAGGTCAAAGTCATACTTGCGTTCCATCACGTGGTCTAGACTGAAACTCCTGAAGGAAGGAAGGAAGGAAGGAAGGAAGGAAGGAAGGAAGGAAGGAAGGAAGGAAGGGTTGAGGGAAGCAAGCCATGGTTGTTTTCTAATCCGCACAGGCCCAATTTACCACACTGCAGAAGGGACCAAAGAATAGAATAAATGTTGATGGAAAAGAGTGGATTTCATAAAAGGTTTCTAATTTGCCAATTGGTTATCTATGATGTTTGTGCACAACAGTATAATGGCACTGTCAGGCATTGTGGTTTTGCTTGGGCCCTATAGTCCATTTTTCAGACTATAGGCACAGGTCAGGGATTTCTAGGTCTGTTCCCAAGTGGGCAGTTTTTTGTCGTGCCATTTTCCCTGGGAAAACCAGCTGTTTACCGCTGAACTGGAATCAGCAGCAATCCACGGAAAAACCAATCGTTTGCTCCAATTCAGTGGTAAACAGTGGGTTTTCCCAGGGAAAGTGGTGGGATAAAAAAAACCCACTTGGATGCAGACCTAGAAATCCCAGACCTGTGCCTAGGAAGCAGGGCGCAAAAGGAAGTGCTTCCTGCCTCACAGAATTTAGCTGAGTGGAGATTAGATGGTGATATGGGTGAGATACACCAATCTCCATTTTCTGAAGTTCCACTGATGAAGCAGAAGTCCACCATATCTTAACGCCATCCCCAATGTAGCTTGAATTAAGCCGGGATCTATTCAAATACAGTCACTGTGCTGACATGTGGAACAACTGCACCTATAGTTTGCATTGGAAATGAGTTTACATAATTGGGACTTGACTGACTGAACATTATCAATATTATTGTACAGTGGTGCCTCGCAAGACGAAATTAATTCGTTCCGCGAGTTTTGTCGTCTTGCGATTTTTTTCGTCTTGCGAAGCACGGTGTCGGGAAAGTTTTGGAAAAGCTTCAAAAATCACCAAAGTCTTTAAAAACCTCAAAAAAGGCTACCACACTGCGTTCTATGAGTTGCTCCTCGAAGTCAAGTCGCAACTGTATTAACGGTGTGAAGAAAAAGGAAACAAACATGCAAGACGTTTCCGTCTTGCGAAGCAAGCCCATAGGGAAAATCGTCTTGCGAAGCAGCTCAAAAAACAAAAAACCCTTTCGTCTAGCGAGTTTTTTGTCTTGCGAGGCATTCGTCTTGCGAGGTACCACTGTATATCAAACCACCCCTGAGCCAAGGCTCCTGAGATAAACACCACAACCTCATAGAAAATATGATCTCAAGAGATCATAAGGCCACACTTCAAAAACAAAAATAGAAATTACACTGCCTTCTTATTTGGGTGCTGATTTTGGAGGGGTTCCACCAAAAGATGAAGGGGGTGGGGGAGACAGGGTTGCCCAGGACAGATGTACCTCAAAACTATTGCTGGGCCATTCCTGGGCCCATAAACATTATAGTTTCTCTTTGTCTTTGTTCCAGCTGAATGTGGCCAATCAGAATTGATTGGAGCATTCCAGACACATGCCTTTTGTAATCACAGAATGGTATTTAAATTACCACCTTCTGCAAAGCACACACCTGCTGCTTGCAGAAGTTACAGGATAACTATAGGTCCCAAAGGCAAGTCAGCATGACAAGAATGCAAAACCTAAATGCAAACCCCTTACCTGGGTAGCGTGTTCCGTTGCTTAGCAGTGTTGAGGGACTTGGTAGAGCCCTGATAAATAAATGTGGGGAGGGAGGAAGTCGGGGGAAAGCCATCAAAAAAGCACTTCCAAAGCAAAACAGCAAGCAAGAGTAACTCTGACTGAAAAGAGCAATGAATAGCATGCAGGAAACAGAGGAACAGATTTCTTTCTGTTCATATTTCTTTCTATTCTAAAGCAGGAGTGTGGCCAAACTTTTTTTTTTTTTTTTTGCCTGAGAGCTGCATTTCCCCTTGGCCAGCCTACCAGGGTCCATATGCCAGTAGTGAGCACGTGGGCCACATATGGGGGGGGGCACACACCTTCGTGTATTTGCACACTGGCATACAGTTCCCCCCCCCCCTTAGCTCACAGTGCCCCCTCTCCACTCATCAAAGGACTGATCTGATGACCAGGGAAGGAACAATCTGCATATCCACAGGGACGCTGAGCCCCACCCACCACGGTACTGTGCCCACATTCCCCCCCACTTCTGCTGCTCCTGTCGTCATCCAATGTCAGATCTACAAATTCTGCCATGGAGGGCAGGCATCTGCACTGCTGCCTCCCTCTGTCGTAGGCTTGTGCCCCCCCCATCCCCACAACCCCCCAAGAAGAAGGAAGTCTACAGGTTTGTGTCTCATCTCACTACTGCAGCTCAGCCTAGCTCAATATAAGGGAGTTTCCAATGTTCCTGTGCTCATTATTCATGTTTTTTTTTAAAGTGTGCTTAAGCTGGTCACAACTAGCCAACTGCTATTTGCCCCTAAAGATGAATTGGATGGCTGTTCCTGGATGGGGCTCAACATGGGTGTTTTTCTTTCAAAATGAAAGCAGCCTGCTTAATAATGCCTTTTGCAAAAGCACAAATAATGTAAGATGTAGTTTGTAGCTCAGAGCTGTGAATGAGGAAACCCTGTTCTGAATCTTGCTTCTTTTGTTAACCCACTAGCTGGCTTCAGCCTCAGTTCCCCACCTGCAATATAAGGGCTAATAATATGAAGGTAACAGGGTAACCATTGCCATTACTAAGACTGATGGGCTGAGAATGTCTCCTTGAGTTGGTGGATGAGATTTGTAGAAAAAGCAAATATGTTTAGGGCTCTTTCCTTCTCAGGCTATACCTCTTAAGAACAAAACATAAGGATCTTAATCTTTTCCCTCACTCAGATTAGCATGCATAGATTAATAAATAGATATCTTTGAAAGTGAGAAGTTTGTTTTCACCCCTTCCATCTTAATTGACTCAGCTTGATAGAAAGGTTTTTTAAAAGTGAACTTAACAGGTTCACTTTTGACATATCTAATAAAAATACGTCAGGAATATTTCAGACTTTATAAATGAGTTATCCAGCCATTTGCAGGAGCTGGAAGATGTACCACAAAAAATATTCATCTTCAACCAAAACTTTGGCTGATTAACATTCTATGGCCTTTTGAATGTGCTTGTGAGAGGGCAGGTTAGTGGTCTGTCCTTGTTTTATTATGTATTTTGTGTTCTCATTTTGCATTTTTTATGTTGTGAACAGCCCTGTGATCTTTGGATGAAGGGCAATATACAAATTTTAATAATAATAATAATAATAATAATAATAATAATAATAATAATAATTAATAATAATTTATGTTTAAAGTGCTAGCATGCCACTTTAATTAGCCATGGCTTCCCCAAAAGAATTCTGAGAAGCAGAGTTTGTTGAGGGTGCTGAGCCTTGCTAGGAGGCCTCTATTCCCCTCACAGCATTACAGTTCTCAGAGTGGTCAAACCATCGATCTGTCTTCGCAGGGAACTCTGGAGCACCTGGAGGAAAGAGACGGAGGCCGCCTGGAGGCAGCTGCAAAGCCAACTATCTTCCCACGCCAGCATTTTTAAAAAGAGAGAGGGAGATTAGAAGAAGTTAGAGAGAGGGAGAAATGAACTCAAATTATGAAACAAATGTGTCTTTGACCTAATGCGATTTTAACGAACGAGTCATGAAATGAATAAAGACCTTTTAAGTAGAAAAATGAATGTAATTACAAGCAGAAGAAGAAGAAGAAAAATGCCCTTACATGCCCTTCCTGATTACATGTCAGCATGGTGTCTAGAAACACAGTTTTCAGTCGCTAGTGAATCAAACTTTAGACTGGAAAGCCCCGCAGGCAGAGTTAAGAGAGAGTTTAGAGAAAGCAAAGTCTTACCAAATGCTCAATACGCCGGACTGGAGCTGTATTCCTCCTCTTGACAAACGGGGAAGAATGGGGAGAAGGAGAGTGTTTAGGAAAGCAAAACAAAATCACAAAGAAGAGCATCCTCAAACCGGAGGAGGAGAGGTACGCAGGGGCAACAGCGACACGACACCTTCCTACTGGGACAGCCTTTGCCAACCTGGGGCTCTCCATATGTTTTGGACTACAACCCCCATCAACCCTGAGCATTGGCCTTGCTGGTTGAGGCTGATGGGAGTTAGAGGTACCACTAAAAAGGGAGTGAAATGGAGCTACTACTGATAATGGCTTCCTCATGTCAAATTCTCCCCCAGCTACACTGTAATTAGCCTTACCCCCCTCTGATGTCATAAAATGTGCATTTCCACAGCCCTACTGCCCATGACACCTAGTAGGGAAAGCAATGATGTCACGACACAGGAGTGGGTTTTAAAACATATTATAGAAGGGAAGAGGGAAAACTTGATACGGGAGTACAATTTTCAGTGGCAGACCCTAAGTTTTAAGAAACTTCTCATACCCTCCCTAAATGAACTGCAAATTCACAATTTTAAAAAGAAACAAGTACAGTATGCACATCCTTTTGATCTCTGCAATTTACATGACCATTCTTTCCTTGATCATAAGGTAGTGAAGTTGATATAAAACGATAGCTTGATGTGGCCCAAGCAGATCACACTGTTTTGATGGGGTGAGGGCATTCAGCAGCTTGTCATGTCCTGGCAATAGGTTTCAACAAATGTACTCACCACAGAGAATGTGGCACCACCCTCTGGCAAGCCTGATGAGCTTGCCTTTCCCTTGGGGTGGGAGGTTCTCCAACAATGCATGCTTCCCCCAAGCTTGCCCCTCGAGAAATTCTGCGAGGAGCTGGAACTACCATTTTTGGCTTGGTCAACAAGCTCAGCCAAAAATTGTTGACCCTTGCTTGCGAACTCTTTGCTTCGCATGGATTATTGCAGCCAGAAAGGCAGGTTGCAATCTTTTAATGTCAGCACAGTCAAAAGACTGTCTCGCCGTGCCAAACACAAATGACTTACAATTTCATTGTGTTGAGAAAATGGCCATGTGGCCCGATTCCTGCCCTCCCCCCACACCTTGGTCACTGAATGGACAGCTATTAATAAGTTGTCAGCCAGGTTCCTCTTTACATTTCCTGGAGACTACTTGTCTCTCACTTCCTTTACTGTCTGTTCAATTTGGGACAACCTGCGAGGGAAACAGAGCCTGCCCTCAGGACTGGGAAGAGGCGGTGGACATTTGGTTGCACTTTAGAGAGGATACACCTGTTCTTTCAAGCTCATTGTCATTGCAGCAAAAAGCTGGCAAGCCACCTGATATGCCTTTATTGTGTTTTGTTTTGTAAGGAGAGAAAGCAGTTACAAACTTCAAAAAAGGACAAATAGAACAAGGAAAAGCATAAAAAGGACAACCAATAAAAGAGAGAAAAGTAAACAATACAGTGGAGCTACAGATAATTAGTCTCACATACAGCTTTCTTACTATCTTGACTTCTCTAAAATCTAACATGAAGCCACTTTCAGCCTCCATTGCAAGGCTGAGGGAAAGCTAGAGTCAAGGCACCATCCATCTCCTAAATCACTAAACCAGCCATGAGCTGAGTGTCCTGAGTCTTCCTGACCTGTGAGATCACTAGAATACCTTTGCTGATCCCAGATTCAAGGCAAGTTAAGGTCACAATCAATTTGGGAGTCGGGTGGGGGTCTGCAAGGCCCTCTGGAGCAAGCAAGTTGGACAGCCTCTTATCTGTATCTTGGCATTTCTGTGAAACATTCCTGTATGGTAGACAGTAGCCAAAAAATCATTGTGCTAACAATGGTGCCTTTAGCTGGCCCTTCTTGCACTGGGTGGCGTAGAACGCCTCCCAGTTGCTAACAGGTTAGCTCACAGGGAAGGCTGCAACTCCTGTCTTGGCCCTCACAGAGAAAATAGGCCCATCAGACGTCAGCAGCAAGGGAATGCATCCTCTCAAGTTGCATTATTAACATTTCTTTCATTCCCGCTTCAGTGGGAGATTTTGCTTCCTGCTACCATTAATCTGGTCTGGTTCCTTGCAGTTGTTGTTTCACATTCTCACAGCAGCACTTACGAGCTTAGGAGCCGGGCTAATGCTGTTCCCACCAGGCTGTGCATCCCGTTTCACTACCTGAGGCGAATCAGGAAGTGCTGCCCTGTCCTATTGTTGCCACTGCTCCTGGCACCACAATTATCTGTCACTGCTGCCTGCATCATGTGCCCTGCCACATCCGTTGCGGGCAGAGAAGTAGCCCCATCATGGCACCAATTTCAGGCAAGATCATGCCCCAAATAGCCCTGATCTTGGCTGAAACTGGTGCCAATGCCGGCGCCGCTTCTTTGCTGCTGCTGGTGGAGGTGGTGTGGTGCCTGTGGAAATGCTGCCTCAGGAGCTTCCGCCACCTGAGGCAGTAGCCTCACCCTGCCTAATGGCTGGGCTGGCCTTGGTTCCCACTGCCAAGACCAAGAAACAGAATGTGTCCAAGAGTACACAACAAATCGAAAGCTCAGCTGGGCTTTCAACCCAGGAAACCACCTCTCCCTTCCATATTCCCATCCATGCATCTATACACTCTGAAGAAAGGACTTTCCTTACTGAGTACTCTCACAAACCTCCACAGCAAAGACCCACCTATAACCTCAACTGCAATTTGGCTCATAAGGAATAGCTCAATGGCAGGTGGTGGCGGTCGATCCGCCCACCTGCCAGTATTTAGCCTTCCTGGTTGTGGAACATAACAAGTTGGACAGCCCCATAAACTGTTGGGCTCCAACTCCCATCATCACTGAGGCCAGTGGCCACGCTGGCTGGGGCTGATGGGAGTTGCAGTTCAACAACATGTGGAGGGCACAGGTTCCCCACCCTTGCTTTAAGCAGCGGAGTCACCCACTGTGATTTGCTCACATACAATCTTCTCCCTAGGAAGGAACTCCTGGGGAATTCTATAATTCTATGAAGGAACTGTAGATATGGGGCAAAATCTGACAATGCATTGCACAGGCTGACTGGGGGCTTCTGGTATCACATACACCTCTCCTGACTCATCCTTGGTAGCAGTTTTGTCAACATAAATTAGTTTATCATCATTTTAAAAGTTCCAAACAAATGTTAAATTGGTTGGGACAGACAACTCCATCAATGTTTGGTTTGCTGATGCATATGCCTGCCAAAACCTTTGCAGAGGTGAAACCAGGTGAAAGGCAAAAAAGCACGGTGAATTTAGAAATACAGCTGCATGCTGCCATGCTTTGTGCTAAATCCCCATCCTTAACCAACTAAAACACAGCAGGCAGCAACTGTGTAGGGGACGGGGAAAGGCCACAGGTAAGGCATAAAACATACAGTGGACGGCTACACATCCACACTTACCAGTTCAGGTAGAGGGAGGGGCTGGCAGGATGACGCTACCTGGAAATGAGAAGAAGCAGAGAATGAAAAGTCCAGCTGCACATCCCTGGCTGCTCAGCTGGGAGGCCTCCCAGATCGCCAGCATCCCCACAAACAGTGCTTTGCAAGGACCAAACCACCCCTTCCTCTCTCCATGCTCAGGAGTGGGGGGAGTGGAGAAAGACTCTTGCTCAGCTCCTCGGACTGCCTCTCTACGAGGCGGCAGGATCTGCCTCTTTTTCCCATCAGGGTGTTTGCTTTGGCCTGGGCTGGGCCCTTCCAATGACGGCGCACACATAGGCAGCAATTCATCACGGCTGGGAGGCAGAGCGGTGGGGGCTCTGCTATATATAGAGAAATGTAAACAGGCTGCACCCCACACCCAGGAGGGAAGCACAGGGAGGCTATTCAGCCCTGCCGCTCTCCCATCTCACCTGGTGAAGCTGCCTCTGCATCCCTGGGTGACCTATGAGAGAAGAGGGAGGGACCAAGTGCCGTCTCCTTCATCTTCTACAGGTTCTGGAGACAGAGAACCCCCACCTCCCCTGGCAGCCTGATCTAAGGGATGAGGCCACGTCAGCAAGGGGCTCGCCTTGCTCCTTCATGGATGTTACCAGCAACAAATAATTGAGTCGGAATTTATTAATATTTGTTCAACTGCTGGCTTTCACTCAACACGCGCACACATGAATGTGCATGTATGTGTCCTTGAACAAATAAAAACTGAACATCAGAGTAGAGCTAAACAAGACAGACAAATATACTCCTGAGTGCCCGTGGTACTTTGTTAGAAAAAAGCTGTTTCGGGGGGGGGGGAATTTGGAACAGAGAAACATCAGTATGCTTAATGCTCTCCTTGCCTGCCACTTTCCCCGCTCCCCCCCCCAGGCCCCAGAGACTGCTCCAGAGACATGTTTATAAGGGCGTACAAAAATCAAAATGTGAACCTGAAATAGGATAATGCTACATTTTTTTGAAGTTCTAAGTAGGATATTTGTGAGCTAAGCAAACACTTCTACTGAGAGGGTTCATTTGCTTTCCTAATAAGAACGCCAAACATTAAGAGATGTACATAAATGGCCAATTCCTGTAAATAGGAAGATTCTGTTTCACCTTTCCTTTCATGTAAAATGCCCTTTGAAGCAGAAAACAGGGAAGGTTTTATTTAACATCCTGAGGAGAGAAAGAGGGACCATGTGCCTATACCATTAAACCTCCCCAAATGAAATTTGTTTTAATATTAGACATACCACTCTAACTAAGAGCAATTTTTATAGATTGCTTTTTTTCAGCTTGATTTTCCAACATTCTTTGATGGATTTGGCTGCTAGATGGATTCAAACCAGATATTATTCAGAAATATTGCTTCCTTATTGCAGGGGTACCCAACCCCTGTCCGGGAGGCCTGATCAAGAAAATTTTGCTGGTCCCCAAATTCCCCATCATTTGGCAGTGGCAGCAAAACGAAAAAAGAAGGTATGATTGGGGGTTTGGGAGAGAGGTTGCCTTGATGGTAGGGATGGGGAGAAATTCATCTCAGTTTGCATTTAAAGTTGAATTTATCAAAATTGGACTTCCTGAAACAATATAAGAACAGATACACAGCCATCCTTCAAAATTCACACTTAACTGGATTTTGCGATTTAGTGCTCCAATCAACTAATATTTACAAATATACATATATTAAGGGAAAATGTGTATAAAAATTAACAGATTGACAATATCATACAAAAACATTATGTTAGGAGAAATTGCTTGCAAAAATGTGTACAAACTGCAGACAAAAAATGTGTTTAGAGGAAATTTGCACCAAAATGCTGAGGAATTTTCATGAGGATATGTATTTTTAAGATGAGGAAATGAGAAACAGAGGGATCCTGTCACCCCTACCTGATGGGGATGCAATTTGCTCCCCTCCCAAGTAATCAAAGTGATCATTTGATGAGCAAGGAGCAGACACCAACTTCCCTCCTCAGCTGTACAGCAGCAATCAGCTGCGGAGCAGAGGCTGCGTCATGGGGGGCGGAGGAGGATAAGTGTGGCCACGCCTACTTTGGGTCATGCCCACTCCTGGCAGCCCCCCTCCAGTTGGCCAAGGGGGATTGCAGCCCTCAGTCCAAAGAAGGTTAGGCCACATCCCTGCTTTACACAACAAGCACATTTATTTATTATAGTTATTTTAAATCATTTATTTGCCACCTCTCCAAATCAAAATTCACCCAAGGCATCTTTCATATTAAAATAAGGGTATGTAAACTGCAACTGAAAAAAAGTAGAGCCTTGAAACTCCCAAAGAACAATTCAACCAACAGGTTCTGTAAGCATCATTCGTAAAATCAGCAACGAATAATCTCCAAAACTGAATCAAGTTGCTAATCGAAACAGGCAGATGAAACACCATCTATATAGAATTTTGTACAGATTCTGTCACAGCATTTGAAGTCTTAAAATTCTCAAGCTTTTGCCATGGGATCATATAAGAAAGTTCCTAGATCTCTTCCTTCTGAAGACTTGTTTGAGTAATACGTAGGTTGTGTGTAGCAGGAAAAGTCTTCGTGTCGTGCAAGGGAGAGCCACCACCTCATCTCTCACAGCCTTTTCATTTTAACCTTTCCACCCTCCACAATGCTATGCTTTGCTGTAAGTTCCAAACAGGTTCTGCAAAGTTTTAAGGACCAGGTTCAGAACTGTCAGAAGGGATAGGCTTATGTGTGTTCATTTTGTTAAACTTGCGAATTTTAGTATGAGCACTGAGTTTTGGAGTTGAAACATGTAAATAAAAATGTAAAGGACCCTTGACAGTTAAGTCCAGTCATGAATGACTCTGGGGTTGCGTGCTCATCTCGCTTTACAGGCCAAGGGAGCCGGTGTTTGTCTGCAGACAGTTTTTCCGGGTCATGTGGCCAGCATGACTAAGCCGCTTCTGGTGAAACCAGAGCAGTGCACGGAAATGCCGTTTACCTTCCCACCGGAGTGGTACCTATTTATCTACTTGCACTTTGATGTGCTTTCGAGCTGCTAGGTTGGCAGGAGCAGGGACCGAGCAACGGGAGCTCACCTCGTCGCAGGGATTTGAACTGCTGACCTTCTAATGGGCAAGCCCAAGAGGCTCAGTGGTTTAGACCGCAGTGCCACCCACGTCCCTTTCAACATGTACTGTAAATACCCCTTAGCTATTTTTCCTTATGCAGCTGCCCCCTTCATGACAGCATATCATTAATCACTTAGTGATGAAATCACCAAAATGATGTAGAATCAGATCAGACTCTTGAGCTTCCAACCTAATTTCAAAATACCACAGGCAGGAAGCCCTTGGGATGGGGAGAACGAAGCGGGTGTCAGAAACTCTGTGTGTGTGAGAGAGAGGGGGGGGCACAGGAGATGTCAGGAAAAAGAAAAGTAGGGGGGCAGGCTCACTTTGGGCTATGGTTGTGCCCACTGCTGGATTCAGTCACCCCCACATAAACTTAGCAGCCCCCAACAGATTGCCCCCATAAGCAACGTGGCTTTGACAGAAAAAGAATTCCCCTTCCTTCCTAGACAAACAGGAGCTGGGATCCTTGTGTACATGTGTAACGTCTTTCCATGAGTCACACACAGGAAAGGAACGGCTGCATTTGGGGGGAAGGGGAGGGTGATTTTACCACTACGCACATGAACCCTGTGCTTACATGTTGGAGCCCATCATCCTTCCTTAAGAAGCTCCCTTACAAAAACAGACTCTTCCCTGCTCCCATCTTCGTCACACTCCATACTAAGAAGAGTTTATTTCTGTTCCTGGGCTACATCATGAAAACTAGGTAGGTAAGGAGTCAGACGCTCCCGTGTTGCACTGCAATCGAACTTCCAAAGCAACTTCCAAACTAACATCAGGCAAAGATTCTGGTTGTTGGCAGGAAGAGCCAAGTCTCCTTTGCAGGACAAAACTGATCCCTCTGCACAAGAATGTGCTGCGCAAGAGGAAGAGGTATTTCAGGGGGCTGGACTAGAAGACCCTCAGGGTTCCTTCCAACCCTACAATTCTATGATACTAATAATGGAACTGTCAAGTCGGAAGGAACCCCGAGGGTCATCTAGTCCAACCCCCTGCAAAGCGGGAATCTTTCTAGGGCTCAGACCCACAGCCCTGAGATTAAGAGTCTCATGCTCTATCCACTGAGTTCATATTCCACTGAGATTTTTATTTTTATTTTTAAATGCAAAACACATTGCCTCAATGGGTCCTATGTTTTTTTCAGACCTGGAAGCTGTGGGGCTCAATCAAACCAAGTAGTTTTGTCTGAGTGTCAAAGCGAGTTGCAGCTCCTGCCTCTGTCCCATCATGTGGTGCAAAGCGGCAGGTCAGAGTGCCTTTGTCAAACCAACTATCAACACAACTGAAATTACACTGTGCGTGAACAAGGGTGCAATTAAGTAAACAGACAAAAGAGGGGCCTGTTGCACATGACGCAGGGTATTCTTTTGTGACCTGTGCCTTTAATTAAAGAAACAAACAAACACCAAGTGGGGTGGAGAATATCTTCTCTTCTGAAGCCTGGGGGAGTTGGGGGGACAGTTTAATTTGCCAGATTGTTATTAGCGCTCCAAAAAACAATCCATAAGCATTTTGAATCTAATCAGGTCCTTGTGACCTGCCAGCCCTCTGAATGACTTGCCTTTTGGGGCAGAAAGAGCATTCCCCACCCTTTCTCCCTATCCTTCATCTAAATTGCCTCTTGAAGCAAAGCTTGGGAGTTTTGAATATAGAGATTTTGTTTTGTGGCTGAGCAGGCATCTCGAATCCTGGGGGTAGGACACACCTACCTGGTGGGATAAAATTATACAGCTGATTGTGCACCCTCTTGGTGGTTCACAGCTGGGTTAACATTCAAAATGGAACCAGAGTTGAATAGCGTAGTCCTATCACTTTCAAATCCCAATTACAGAAATTACAGGGCTGTGAATTATGGGTTGAATCCAATGTAGCTCTAAGTAAAAGTTGTTCAGTTAGAGCAAGGGTTTATGCTTGTGCAATGGAGTTT